ATTAAAACAAACTGCTTAATAATGTACAGCGCATTTGCCGCCATTCAGTCGAATATTTTTGCTCATTGAACTACGTGCCGAAACTGGTTTGATAATTTCCAAAAGATTAGTTAAATTTTTTTCTCATATAAAACGTCGATAATTTTCAGAGATCGTATTTGGTCTATGGTTACACAGGGAAAGTGTAGAATCGGAAGTGAAAAATAATACCCAGTAGGGAGATTTAAAAATAATCCTCACTATATTGGAATAACATAGAATTGAATTCTTGTAAAATAAGAACTTTTGTTTCCGTTATGAGACATTCCAACCCATTGAAAAGTGCAACCAAATACTATCAATGGCGTACTATAATTTTATCCGAAATGAATTCAGTTTCTTCTTATAACTTACTTATAGCGTATAACAATGGTTATTATTCATTTTGATTTAGGAATAATAAAGATCTAGAATGAAAACAAAAGCTGGTAGAAGGTTTTTGTAGTAGAAAATTCGTTTCACGTTTTTAGGACTTTAGACTGTTGACAATTTACTTATTGGAAGTACTCCAGATACGAAAAAGTCAATTTAAAATTAATGAAACCAGATTTTTGGATATCCTTAGAATGTCCACTCTACATATGGGAAACTAAAAAAGTCTTTTAGTGTCATGTTTGAGACACTGACTTCGATAAATTCATTTTAGATGTTTAAAAACTTTTGCAACCTCTACAAAAATTTATTAGGATAAACTACATATATTGAGGCATTTCTCAGGAAAGGAAAATTGCAGTTGAGTGTCATCAGCATGAAGTTGATAATCACAAAATTGGATGATGTTGTAAGCCTGATGTGATCCCAAAATACTATACTCGGATACTCAATTATTAACAGCCAAAGGCATAGAGATAGATTTGTGTTCCGTCATTTAATAAAGATGATAAAAATTTAGAAGTCAAAACTATGATAAATAAATAAGAACTATAAGTTCGGATTTTCACAAAATTATATATTTTCACATGACAATTGTTTCGACAACAAAATGCAATATTTACAAACTACCTGATACTATATATACCGAAAAATGACAATAAAACCTTAATTAATGTTGTTGTTAGAATTTAAGTTTAATAAAGGACAGGTATTTAAATCTAATTGATCATTTGAATGTCTCATTTTGTTGATCAAAATCAATCAAAATTGTCATAAAAATGTGTTTTTCTGTGTTTAAGTGTGTAGTATAATTAGAATCCGGACTATTGCTTTTAAAATCTCTTTTATGTTCGTTAATGTGTTTCTTGCAGGATCTACCGGTTTGTCCAATATAAAGTTTAGGACAAGATTCTTATTTCAACCTGTAGAGACCTGTTTTTTGAGATTTTGGATATTTCGTTTTATTCTTTAAAAAAAAAATCGTATTGTGTTGCTAGTTCTGAAAGCTATTTCTAAACCACGTTTTGACAAATGCTTTGAAACTTTTTCACTGGGTTCTCCTACGTATGTAATTCTTTTCAATTGTTCGTGTTCTGTATTAGGTTTCGAATAAATAGAGTTTACTGTTGTCTGGATTTGTTTTTATTTATAATTTTATCGATAATGGACGGATTGTAGCAGTTGTTCAGTGCAATTTGTTTAATGATATTAAGTTGTTTGTTGTAATTTTCTGTTGAGAGTGGCGTATTAAGAAGTCTGTGTATAAAAGAGTGAAATGCAGTCATTTTGTGTGTATAAGGGTAACTTGAGCTGTTATGTATGACTGTGTCCGGGTGTGAAGGTTTATGGCAAATGGAAAAATCTAATTTGTTTTGCGTTTTCGTAATAATTAACTCTAAAAATTAATTTTTTAAAAAACAATAAATCTAAATGTCCAAAATTTCAAACATCAGGTGTCTACAGGTTGAAATGTGGATCTTGTCCTAAAATTTAATTCAGACAAACAGGTAGATCCTTCAAGAAACGCATTAACGAACATAAAAGAGCGTTTAAAAACAATAGTCTAGATTCTAATTATGCTACACACTTAAACACAGAAAACACATTTTTGATGACAATTTTGATATTTTACATACAGCCACAAAAAGTAAAAAATTAAATTTATTGGCAGCTATGGAGATTTAAATACCTCTCCTTTATTAAACTTAAATTCTCACAACATTAATTAAGGTTTTATTTTCATTTTTCGGTATATACAGTAGCAGGTAGTTTGTAAATATTACATTTGATAGAGACACGGTATTGTCGAAACAATTGTCATTTGAAAATATATAACTTCGTGAAAAAATGAACTTTTAGTTCTTATTTATTTTATTAAATGGATTTTCATCAAGTAAAAGCCACCTCAGTTCAAAACCATGATAGCAATTTTGTTATTATCATAAACCGTACAAACATCACCTACTTCGTCTGCAGGAGAGCCTTTAACAGCTATAAAAAGATCTATCTATCTAAAGATCGATTGTCCATTATTTTCTCCCGAATCCCGAATCTCAGAGACCAGTTGAAATACGCAAATAAACCACCCTGTACCGGCATCGTTGAGGTCACTGAATTTTTTCTACTCCCTTCTGTAAAATACCTAATTACACAACCGATCTAGCGTGCGGGAGGCGTCACTTTACCACGCAGTTTCGTTTCCCACGGATCAGAGCCACTTCGAACATTTTCGTGATTTTACCGCACGGGTTTTGGAGCAATCGGATGTTTTCGAATGTTTCCCACCCCTTGAATTTTGACCGCATTTGTTGCATATTATACTATTATATTCCACCAAAATAACTCCCAGGATTGCGAAAAAGAAAAGGAATAGAAAAGTATAGCACACGTCAAATTTTAATTTGTAATTGGCATAAAACTGGATCGACTTAACCCATTCATCAAATGATCCGTTTTCTGCGGACCATGTGAAGGGTAAAGACGCAGAAAGAAAGAAATTTTTTGCACAAACAAAGCCTCGCTACTGCTTTCTGCTTTTACGTTGTCGATTTTTGTTTCAGCGTTCGCGACTGTTTAAACGCTTCTGTTTAAACTTCTGATAAATCAGACTTTTTCCGAAAATACGTTCGGGTTCAAATGATTCATCGTCAAGCGGCGCAAGCGAACTAAGTTAATTTCCAACCCCCCGTTGGTGAATTGTCGATATCCAGACTATCCGTGGTTTCTCGGATATAATAATTTCCACGTTTCCCAAAGGAATACCGACCTGCGTCTGGCCAATGCATTAACAAAGATATATATACTCCGCATTAAGCATGGAAAGTAGTTAATATAATAAAATAGAGTATACAGAGGGCGTGGTAGACGCGGCATTGGATATATTAAATTACAGAAAGCTCTGTTAAATAGAAAAAAGACTTTTGGTTAGTTTTGGTTAGTTTGGTGGTGGTTAGCGGTTGGGTTAGGTTCGGATTAAATGTTATTATTAAATATTATCTTTTAAACGTATAAATGAGCACTCCAGATGAACAACTACAAAAATGTTTAATTTATTTTGAAAATTATCATGGTTCATTTCTAAAATACATTTATTTCAAATAGAATTATTATTTATTATTATAATTTAGAGGATACTACAGAAAAGACCACCTTTTGACTTTATTTTTTAATAAACGTTGGTAATCCTGCACTTGTCCAATCGAAATTAGATTGATCGAATTAGATCGAGTCTACTTTTGTTCGGCGCCGACGATACCGAAATAACAAAAAAAAAACAACTTTCGACGAAATTTCAGTCGGTAGCAAGACGCTTCCGCGAAAAATTACTTTTGCAAAAATGCTCGCGGTTCGATACCCATTCGGCTAATGAAAATCGTATCGATCCATCGGAAACAACTTGCAGACGCCAAATATACCCGGTGGCCAACAGCGGCATAGTAGGAAGTGGTAAACCAAGAGAGTTATTTCACTTTTTATAATAATAATAAGACTGATCCGTCTAGTTGATAAACTAGAGATGGAGAACAAGCTACCGCAAAATACAAAATTTCTAATAAAAAAAAGAAAATTAAAAAAAGGGACAAGAAGGGGGAGACATAAAATTCATTGACGAGCAATAACATTTTCTTTTTTTTGAAACACTTAAATAAAATTGAATATGACAAACTCTTTTTCAACTGTGCAGATATGGGGAAACCTAAACAATCTGACATTAATAATCTCCATTTAGCATTGTAAATACAAGTTTATCAATTTGCAATACAAAATTCCCGATCTACATGGATATAAACACGAAAAAGAAACTAACAGCTAAGATCATGATATCTGAAAAGCTTTTAATGTCAGGCAGTAAGTCGTTAAAATTGTTTAAATCTGTAATATGGAGTTCTGTACATTAGTAGAACATAAAATATTCACAATATCTTGAATTAGAAAAATATAACCTAGTCAGGAACACGCTGCACAATTACGTTAAACGCTGCTATTTTTTTGTTATTACATTTTAATATAATTCACAATTGTTCTAATTGATATACAGTTTTATTTTTAGATGTACACTTAACATTTTTTGGTTCAGAATTGCTTAAAAATTGTTTATTTTTTTTTTATTTCAACAAGGGTTATAACGAAACCTGAACAAACTACATTATTACTTGAACAGCATTTTAAAATGAACACCTTTGCTTACTCAGGGACGGATAATTGAAAACAAATCAGTCGGTCCACTCATCGGGTACTTTTAAACTGCGAGCTGTTTGGCAATCTGGGCCACCCGGTATTTATGATTTCAATCGCGCGTGACACGTGATTAAATTTGGTGATAATTAAAAATTATCATATACGAAGCATTTATATAAGAAACCCATTGAAGCTGGATTCTTCTTATTTACCTTGCTTAACTAAATACGCAAGCAGATTCATTGATCGGGTTTAAATCACCTGATCATATATTAAATTTAAGCATCAGACATCAGACAAATTCCATCACAACTTGAAGTCTTTCCGATGAAAAATTTTCTTTAAATTTTTGGAAGTGTTTTTCTCTTCTATTTACCATTCCTTTTGTTAACGCTGCATTTTATTTCCAGATGTCCTAATATGGGTCAGACTTGGATGCTAGTTCGTGCGGCTGCCATACTACTGGTGACACGGCAAACGCTGGCGCTGTCAGACATGTAAGTAGTAGTACATCTAATCAGTTTTATGTTATTTCAATTCACTTTTGAAATTCAATTAGCACAATTTCTTGGGTTAGGTTTCAAAATAGCGACCTAAGATCCGATTTTCTATAGTTCATTACGACTGTATTTCCAACTTTTATAAAAAATATATATATTTCCTCCGAAATTACATTATCGTTTTCAAATTGCGACATATTTTTTTTTTAAAACAAATGAGGATTTTGCTGGTCAAGATTGCAATCGCGTACTACTCAGGAATTGCATCTTAATCTGTGTGCTCTTAGTATTTTCTGATTAGGCTGCATTACCGTTTTCATTTTGCGTTTTTTTTTTGTAAATTACTCAAAAATCGCCCCTTTAAGAGTATTTAAAGCCCTTATGTCTTTTGCTTCTGTTTACAGAAATGCAAAAACTAGAACCTGTGGTGAGAAATTGACAAAATGATAGTTCACAATCACAGTTTTTATGATATTTTAGATGCGTTTGTTTAAATCAGGTTTACATCATCAGCAGTAGAGATAAACTAAATAGCAAAATCTTCAAACATTCTTGAAACCACTTGATCGCCCTAAATTGTTCGTTAGTTTTGGTTACTTATTTAGTTAGCGGCATGTTGAACTCAATTTAATGAATGCTACCTATAAAGTGTCCCACGACATGGCTGCTATAAATTTGGAGTGTGTTGCTGGGGTAATTTCAAGTTTAAAATGTCAAATACCAGTAAGGCTACTTTAACTGAGCTACAAGTATTTGAAATCTTAATCACCATTTAAAAAGAAACCACTTTGTTTATGGATTGTGTAATGGAAATGGATGAATATCGTCGACGATTTCCCACTGGTAGAGTGCCTTGTAGAACTGTTTTTAGCAATGTCCATTGATGTTTGAGAGAAACAGGCAATTATCTTCATTCGGGTTTAAAGGCCGTCGTCGATTGGAATTACTTCCTAAGGAAGTAATTCCAATCGACGACGGCCTTTAAACCCGAATGAAGATAATAGCTCATCAACGGGCCGCGAAAGCCTTAACCAATTTATCAGAAACAGGCAAGTTTCCTGCAGCTACTTCTGAACGTCCCATTCAACAGGAACTTGCTCAAGAAGAGGCAATACTTAATTCGATTGATGCTCAACCTCAAGATAGATTTTCGGTGTATATTTGGTGACCTATTGATCCGCCACACAGTCATTCGCTATTTACGTGTCATTGAAAGTGATCTTCCAATATTATTATTAGATGGTGTCCCTCTTAATGTAAGACAACAAATGTGGATTCAGCACGATGGTGCACCTAGTGGACAAGTAGCACAATTTCTTAATAAAAACTATACAAACCGGTGGATCGGAAGAAGTTCAGCAGGTTCTTGACCAGCAGGGTCACCTGACCTTAAGCCCTTAGATTACTTTTTATGGGGGAAACTGAAAACTTTAGTTTATGCAGAAAGTATTAAAAGTATTGCTACTACTTCAATTCTAAGAAGAGCTAGACTCGGCATGCAGCAACTGAATGGATACTTTAAACATTGAACTGAGGAGGCTTTTACTTGATGAAAATCCATTTATGAAAATAAATAAGAACTAAAAGTTTCAGTTTTTCACGAAATTATACATTTTCACATGACAATTGTTTCGACAACACCGTGTCTTTATCAAATGTCGATTTGATAAAGACACGTGAAAATCTGAACTTTTAGTTCTTATTTATTTTGATACTCTAAACAACTAATTCAATAAAATTAAATACAAATAAATAAAAAATTACAAAATAAAAAATAAAGGGGTTTCTTTTAAATGGTCTTTAAAATTTCGAATTCCTGTAGCCCAGTTAGAGTTCCGCTGTTCATTTGACATTTTTAACTTGAACAACACACCCTATATATTGAACTGTAATCAGAGAACGTGTTATTATTATTGTTATTATGCATTTCTAAGAGGGGGTTTTTATGGTAGACATTCAACGGTCTTTCCACGAACTTAAAAAGTGAATAAAAAAAATATTTTTAAGTTAAAATGGGAAAAAAGCCTATTCGGTAATTAAAATTATTAAGCAATTTTAACTCTGCTTAGATTCATTCACGTTTATTGTAAGTTTGGTAAATTCCAAAGGAATTATTTAATTATAAAAAGTTATATTGAAATTCTTAATTCCGGGATATTTGAAGAAAAACGCGGTGTTGCCGATGTTATCAATTTAGTAAAGAAAATGTTACAAAACAGGGGCAAGCATCCCTCTCGTTTCCAGTAATTGGAGAAATATTTTCCTCGGCGAACGGCGAGCGAAAACGAACTCAATCCCAGACGCGTCGAAACAAAACTCAAAACTAATCAATTTTCCATTTACCTTTTGCAGCTTTGAAGAGGGGAAATCCGATAAGGAAATCCTGGATAATCTTTTGCGGGCTACGCGCTATGACAAGCGGCTTCTACCTCCGGTGAGAGGTAAGTTTCCACGAACATCGCTAGAAATACGCTTTGTAGCCGTTTCAACGGATAAAATATAAATTGCATGCTCTGACGTCTATGTCGTCGAAGCTATATAATTTCGAAATGGACCGAACTGAGCTTAAAACAATAATGATCATTAATGACCATATGCAAAGATAATTTAGAAATTTTCAAAGCTAAAAAACTTATTTTGGTTAATAGAAAAAACGATTGAATGTGGTAGGATGTTATCATGGTATAGTCTGTCTCAATTTCATCGCGTTGGCTTTCCCCAATAAAACTTGAACGATGTTATTACACATTCTTATTGGGTAAAGCCTTTAACAAAAAAAATATTCTTACTTGAGTGACGTGGCATGGGTGGGCCAGGTATAATTCTTTCTCTCTGATATATTTCTTGAGTATTGACCATTTTTGGTAGCGTTGAATAATCGTTTTAACTGTGCGTTTCGAAAAAAATATTTTACGAGAACATAGCGTCGAAATCATCTGTCGCTTGATGCAAAACAGGGTGTACGTATATGAAACTTTCAAAAGGCTCTTTCGGACAGAGAAGAAGGAGTTAGGATTGGAGGAGAAATTATCAACAATATACGATTTGCGGACGATACGGTAGTCCTGGCTGAGTCTCTCGAAGACCTACAATTGCGGGTGGATAGAGTTTACAACGAAAGTCGTGCAATGGGGCTCACAATTAACATAGAAAAAACTAAATTTATGGTTGTCTCAAAGAACCCGGCCAGGCAACATCAGTTATACATAGAAGAACGAGCTGTTGAACAAGTCGAAAAATACAAATATTTGGGAGCGTACATCACCTCTGGCCTAGATCAAGATCAAGAAATTAAGGTCAGAATCGAAATAGCAAGACAATCATTTCTTGGTTACAGGAAGATACTCTGTAATAAAAACTTGTGTCTCAGTTTGCGATTGAGGTTCGTCGAATGCTATATATGGTCACAATTATTATATGGGGTAGAAACCTGGACACTAAAAGCACAGATCATCAAAAAACTGGAAGCCTTCGAGATGTGGCTGTATAGAAGGATACTAAAAATTCCCTGGACGGATAGAATTTCAAACGAAGAGGTCTTACGAAGAACTGGAAGCGGTAGAAAATTAATAACTTTAATAAAAAGACGCAAAACCGCATATCTGGGGCACATCTTAAGAAATGATAAATACCGTCTACTACAAACTATTATGCAGGGAAGACTAGATGGAAGAAAAAAGAAATCCTGGCTAAGAAATGTCAGGGACTGGACAGGGTTCAATGTGGGGGAATTGTTTTATATTGCGAGGTATAGAGAAGCGTTTGGAGTAGTGGTCGCCAACCTCCAATGAGAGGGAGAAGGCACTGGAAGAAGAAGATATGACACTTTAATCAGTAGAGGATTTATTAAACAAGAAACTTTAAAAGAAACCTGTCTACTTACAAAAACTCCATAGAGTTGTGTGAAACATAGGATTGAAGTACCGCAAAATAGACACAAAGCAAGCAGTAATGAAAATACACAGATTATGCACTTGAAGATTTAATTACCTCAAAGAAACTAAACAACAGATCCATAATTTACCTTGACGAAACATTGTTCGATGCCCACGATACTGTATCCAAAGGGTGGATTGATTCTACTCAAAACTGTCAGACGAAAGCACCTCCAAATAAAGGAAAACGCATCTCCATAATAGACTCTGGGTCAGAAGACAAATTTGTTCCAAACTGCTTGCTGTTGTCTGCAAAGAATATTAAGGATTCCAGATCGGATTATCATGAGGATGCAACTGCCGAACTTTTTGAAAATTGGTTTGAAAACAATTTTTTCAAAAATATTCCCAATTGTTATGGATAGCGCAAGCTACCACAACCGTCTGCTACGCAAAGCACTAGCCGTATTATGTTCAAAAACTGAAATGCAGTATTATAAATTTAATAAAAAATGCGAAGTGAAGAAATTCAGTGCACCACATTATAAAAATTGAGGATATTTCTATACACAACAACATAAATTCTATTATAATTAATTTCAATGACTACTCTGATAATGAAACAGAATTAGATTTAGACATTTAGAATAAAAAGTAATTATGTATAGATATTCCTGGTTATCAATTTATGGTATATATATATATATATAATGTCATTGTTTTTTCTTAGTGTAACTTAATAAGATTCTACCCACCTAAATAAACAAAAAAAATTATTATCACTAAAATCTTTGAGAGTCATCCCGAATGTTCTGTCCTTTAGTACCTACCGGATCTGAGTTTTATTGCCGTCCAAACTTCCATAATTGGTGACATAAGCCAGCACGATTAAGATTGAGACAGACTACATATAACTTAATATTTCTTATGGGTTTCCCAAGCTACTAGACTCTCATCCAGCTATTCCCTTACGGGTTACAGATTTTTTAAGTGAAATTTGTTTTTTATTTTAAACTCACTCCGCAGATAAATTTTATCCTCAGCATATCCCGTCCCATACTATTTACAAAACTTTTGTATTCCTCCTGCGTCCGTTATTGTTGAATCGAACTTGCTGACATTTCGCCGATCATCCTGTTGGCTTCTTCAGAGCTGACCTGTTCAGTTTCACAGTTTTAGTAAAGCTCTGAAGAAACAGCCAGGATGATTGACGAAACGTCAGCAAGTCAGCTGAAACTGTCAATCAGAGATTTACTGACACTGTGAAAACTGTGAAACTGAACAGTTAAGTTCTGGAGAAGCCAACAGGACCAAGTTAGATTCAACAACAACCAGGAGAAATCCAGAATTTTTGTAAAGAATATTAGTTGCTTTGAAAAATTAACCCGTCTCATATCTACGATTCTACGGGAGCAGGTGAACCGGTCACTTTGGTTAGTTAATTATTTTGCTTTGTTTCTTGTATTAAACTGACTCGGCGGATCAATTTCATCTTTTTATCGATACATTAAAACATTCTATAGATAGAGGTGAACAAGTCACTTTGTTAGTGATTGATGCACCCTGCATTAAATAAATTTTTGGGGTAGGTTCAGTTTGGGTTAGTTTAAGTAGATGCGTGTTAATGATTGGAAAAGTGTTTTGCGAATTGTGTTTGTAAAGCAGATACATGTTTGTAGAAAACTGATTTCAGATATCTCAAATTTTGACATTAAACAGAATGAAACGTCTGTCTGTAGTATATCGTATGCAAAACAAGCATTTTTAACAAAAAATACGAATAAGCCGCAATTTATTTTCGAGTACTATTTTGAGGGGTCTCTGAAGGTTCAATGTCTACGAATTGCCATCAGTTCAGGAAAATATTTCTAGGTACCTTGGAAACTAAAGCCAGTATCCCTTTTTCCAAAGATAATTAGTACAAATAAAGTAAACTTTTTGGTTTTACTTCTTAAATGTACTACCTCTAAGAGCGCCAATGAATTCTACGCGAAAACTTCTATAGAGAACAGTTATTGGTTAAGGATAAGTTGTCAAATAGAAAAGATCCAGGGGTACTTTAAAACGTAGCATGCAATATAATATTCATCTATAACCCACGAAAGTGTCGAAAATACAATGGGATATTTTAAAAAACAAACAGACAATTAAGGAATGGGCACTTTGGAAGCACAAGCATCCAGGTATAGTATTTACATAAACTTACTTTTGCTTTGCTTTGACTTGAAAAAAGTCTATCTTCGTTTTCACTTTTATATGTCAGCGTGATTTTTTCATATGGCTAATAGATAATATAAAGGTTATTACAGTAAAATTGACACACCCTTTGTGGGCATATTTTGCGAAAATACTACTCAAACAATGCCACAGCTAAAAAGAAAACTGATCAGCTCGTGAACTGTGGTGAACACCACTAATGGTTAGTTAGTTGCGTTATCAGCATATTCAAGACCTCTATATATCTAGTAGCTATATAGATTTTTTACCCTATTTGCGCTGACGTCACTAACAAACCAAAATTTTTTCTACGACTCATGTCGCTATTATCATCCACGTATATCGCAAGATAATTAACAAAAATCATATTTTAATTCTTCAACACTGGCTGAAATGTTCCATAGCCTATGGCGTATGAATATAGTTTTCACAGGCACGAAGGCAATTTAATTAAATTATATAAAATGTTCAATTATTTAGAACGAATCGGAACAGGTGTGTCAAATTAATGGTGCGGCACAACCCGAACCGTTCATTTAGAAATTGGATTTCCACTGGAAAACTACAAACGGTTCTGCATCAAAAGATTCCGATTTTATTTTTACCGAAAATTTGCGCTCCCACGTTCAATATATCTGTATGTGTACTTTGCCTTTGTTTCTGCTGCTTTCTGCTCAAATTTCACATCAACATCGTGCTTTTTGTTTGTTAAATTACGGGTTAAATTTCACGGATTCATTTACGTTTCAAGGGAAAGAGAAAAAAAGATATTTACCCCAGAAAGAATAAATAAAAGCAATACAATATTTGTTGCTCACATTTGGTGCTTTTTGTTTGTCGACTTGATTGTATAAAGTCAGCAAACTGATCGGAAGCGTCAAATCAATAGAAAATTTTCTTTAATAACTGTTAGGCTGATAAATTATGAAGAAAAAGACTTTTGCTTCGGCAGAGATAATATTGTGAATCGAGTACCAAAACAGAGATAATTACTAAAAATTTGCACATGAAAACTTGTTTCATTTTTTATCAGAGGCACGTTTATTTTGCAAAAAACTGGTTACCATAGGATTATAGTTAGTATTACAAAAACAACTTAAAAGCATAAATGAAATAAATTTCAAAAGGTACACAATTTCAGCGCCTCTTGATCTGGGTATTCTTTTTTTAGGTTATTAATTGCAAAGTATCTTGACAAGATAATACTCGATATGCACATGTAGATAGCATTTAAAACACGGTAAGGCCACAACTAACCTGACGTTAGCGTTGCTGTTGCAGATGCGGACTTCTGCTGTGGCATGCGATCACCAGAGGATGGAAAATTTGATACTCACAACATCCCTTCGAGCAGCAAACAGCGTGGTCCGTTCTTTTTGATTTTATATTCTTTACCTACCTTAATAGTACAACTAACACGAACTTACCCTTGTCCATAACATGTCACTTTCATTCCTGGGCGCTGGCGTTTCTCTTATTGCTTGTTCTTGTGCATTCAGTTTCCCTATTGTGGCCAGCAGTATCAGCGAATTACAGACGATGTCTTTTGTTGACGATATTGTGAAAATCTCAAAAGTAAAAAGACAAGGGAAAAATCAAAAAATCAACTTTTCAAGAAAATTTGCCTATTAGCCAATTTTATTTTAATTTTAAAATCTTGTGTTTAAAGAATCGTCTGTAATCCAATCATTTTAACACGGCATGTGAGTGTTTTTGTAGCGTAAAGAATGTGCCGATATTGCTTTCCGAATGAGCAGAAATTAGCTCTTATGTCTGCACGTTCTTTTCATGAAATGTCCGTATGGTTTAGCCTTGTGTCTGCTGTGTTACGTGTAGCCGAAGAATGTAACTAGGTGTACTGTGTCCGAAAACCAAGAACAAATTCCATCAATGTGTAATATAGTAGAAACCGCATCATAAAAATTTCGCAAAACCTGTGCTTCATTGACAAAAGAAGAAATAAAATGTGAACCATATTGCACTAACCACTTTTTCTATCTGCTTAATTCTGACGACATACATACTTATTAATTATGTTGACATGATAAAGAAAATGTTTAAATACGTTTTTAGGTCGACTCACGTCATTTTTATTTGCACATAATTTTTGTTTAGATTTTAGAAGAAATTTTAAGAAAAACATATAACTTCCAAGTTCCAAAATAATGTTATATAAAATATTTTAAAGGTGCATTTACAATAATACTAATTGCTATGCTCCTAAGATAACATTAATTACATGTGGTTCATCATTATATTTCAATTTTCCGGATTTCAATTGATAGTTTAAATTCCAAAAAAAAAAAAATTCGAACAATAACACGATATCGACCTAAAAAACCTATTTAAAACAACCCACTTGGGGAATTGTGTATCAAATATTAATAAATTGATCAGCATGTCGGGCTAGAGAAAACACGGAACCTTCTAGTGGATCAATATATTTATTTTGGTCGTTTGTTTGCTAGCACTAAATACATCGCAGAAAACGTTAATAGAAATAACTCAATATAACAGAAGTTTATAAATAAATTATTCCGAAATGGGAATAGCAGAAAAAAGAACATCGGAAGGTAAAGATGGACGAAAATGAAAATTGCTTTGGTTCAAAATGACCAGGAATTGTTGCATGGAAACGTGATTAAATGCAAAAATATAAATATGAAAAAGTAACAGTAAATGATAACCCCGTAATGTGATCGCTAAAAGTTTTTTTCTAAACTTTAGGCTTTAATTCTCCCTGTATTCTTTTTAAGTGATATTTCCCTTGTTGCAGGTTCGCTGACCGTAAACGTTAGCGTTTTGCTGCTCAGCTTGGCTTCGCCAGACGAATCCAGTTTGGTAAGTCGAGACAAATTTATTCAAATTGCACGCTCGTAACATTTCTCTTAAACATAGATTTTAAATGCGCACGAAATTAAAATCACACCCCCCCGTCCGCATTAAAATGCAAATTGTATTTTTCGCGTGGGCAAAACATATTCGTTTAAATTTTTTATCATTTTCTCTTCATTCCTTATTCCCGCGTGTGGGCTAAATTCAACTACCGCTTAGGGCGTATTAGAAATATATATCGCATTCGATCTCGTTAGGGACTAAACCACGTTAAGATTGAATTTTCTACCCCATTTAAAAACCCGTTTTCGTGTTTTTATTGATTATTTATGTATCATCGAAAACACAATCTGATTTTTGTTGGCATTGAACCTAAATTTAAGATTAATTCATATTTTTAATTTAATTGTAACAGGGTTTGCATACTCAAAAAAAAATAGATTGAGTTTCAAGCACAGAAAGTTTCTCTTGGGAGATTAAAAGCCAAATACATTTTTGCAAAATGCGAAATACAAAAGACTCTGACAATTGGATAATTTTTACAATTTGGTAAGAGAAAAAACTTTGGCCGAATTTATAAATTCCTGGTTCATCGAATCGGGTGCAATTTTTAAAATATAATTCTAACAAATGTTAATAAAAAACGTTACCTCATGCATCCTATAATAAAATAAATAAACGTGATAAAACATAAATACGAACAGAAAGAATAATTGATAATACTGATCCATTCACAACAAAATGAACAATTTGTTAATACCTTGAGATTAAATAGAAATATAAAACCATATTAATTAAGAGCTATTGCAGATAGATAACGAAAAATAGATAAAAATAGTTAGACTAAATTTACTCAAACATCGTTTTTTTGAACTATGCCATGGAAGAGATGGCAGAAAAATAAAATATACTACGCTACACTTACCACTTGAACTAAATCCTATAAAACTCATATGAAGGCCCAAATAGAGCGATTCGTCGCAAAAAAACAACATTTGACATGAAACTTGTAGTTAAGTAAAGAAAATAGAGCTGTTGTTCGACAAAACAATATTGGAAGTGGCCCTAGAGAACTGTAAAAAACTCCATCATGTTATTAAAGAAGAAAAACTTCATAATGTAATTGATCGAAAGGTAGACGCTTCAAAAATAACATGAAAAGAAGGGAGAAGAGAATATGACCTTTATTAACCTGGAATAAATTGTATATTGTTGAAAATTGTACAAGCTGTCCGGCCATATTTTGCAAATTAACTACGGACTTTATGGATTAGGCAAAATTTGTAGAGTTAATTCTATTATTTATTTAATTCAATAGATCCTGGTGGTTCGGAACATAATTCGCCTTAGACGGGGTCTCCTTATTTGAACAGGTCCTTCTCATACCAGATTGTAAAAAAATGCCTTTTAGGTCAGGAAAATGCATATTACCAAGATGTAATTTGTGTTTCTACCGAATTAAAATTTAATCAGATACTTCCTGGTCCTTGATTCCTTCCCGTGGGAGTGGGTGTTGTCGGTTCCCTTCAGTTAATTGTAAGTGTATCCGGGCCTTAGCCCTTAGCCCTTTGCTACCAATTTTAATTCGGGTTATAATTTTTTCTACCCCCGTCTGTAATAGTATATTATGCAACAAGTGCGGTAAACAGAATTTGACTGACGAGTTTATTTGACACGAGCGGAGCGCAGCGGAGCGAGTTTTTAATAAACGAGTGAGTTAAAAAGTTTACAGAACGTGTTGCATACTATACTTTTTCTACGAGCGTTAGTTTTTGGGTACATTTTCTCAAAACAACACGAATACAATCACTGACGTTACTGTCAGAATTGACAAACGTCAAAATTCAAAGCGTGGAAAATATCTCCAAAAAGATCCGACTGCTCCCAAACCCGTGCTGTAAAATCCCGGAATTGTTTACGTTCGCTACACTTTTTACGTCACTCGTTTATTAAACACTCGCTCCGCTCGTATGAAATAAACGTTTGAGTCAAATGTCGTTTACCGTCCTTGTTGCATAATATACTATAAATAACTTGTTTATTAACTAGTGAGTCAAATGCCGTTTACCGCACTTGTCGCATAATAGACTATTTTACATCCATTTTTGTGCATTTTTGCATGCATAACGAAGATTGAACAATTAACGAGAGGAAATTTAGATCAAGAGCAAAAAAAATGCAAACGCGTTTAACGAAATTTACTCACCCCATGAAAACTTATCGTATAATTTCCAAATCATTTCATTGGCCGAGCAATGATCGAATTCCAGCGTGGGAAATGAAATCCGCTTCGGCGACACTCATAAATCAAAATTCCACGTCAAATCCATGTTCAGACGTTCGGTTGCGAATGTAATGAAAACGTTCAATGAATTTAATTTCGTAACGCATTCGCGGCTGTAGAGAATGAATTTTCCGAATCATATTCAAATTCTCGGCGAAAGATCGATATACACGTTTGCCGGACCTCTTCCTTTGAATTAAAAGTGACGAGTTGACGTTTCCGCAGAAATACGAAGTCGAGTTTCTGCTCCAACAGCAATGGTACGACCCACGGTTGAGATATTCGAACCAAAGCCAGTACAGTTACCTGAACGCTATCCATCACCACGACGACATATGGTTACCGGATACGTACTTCATAATGCATGGTGATTTTAAAGACCCGCTGATTCCGGTACATTTTTCCCTCAGGATTTACAGGAACGGAAGCGTAAACTACTTGATGCGGTAAGTGTAACAACCGAGGCGCCATCTGTCGACGCGAATGCGAAGTATACCTGATACTGTCAAAAGTGGTCACTTGATTAATTCAGAAAACTGAATATTATACAAATTACACAGGTCTACAGTGATTTTGATGTTTGAAAGCTGTTTGCTTATTTATATATTTTTGGGTGCCCGTATTCCAAAAAACGCCACATTTTTTATAGCCCTCTATATCTTGAAAATGTGACATGAATATGGTTGTTCCATGTTAGGCATGTTTTTTAAATGAACTGATTTTTTTAGATTTAGATTTAGATTTATCTACAAAGCTACAGAGTTGGCGCAGAAGAATCAATACAGCGTTAAAACTTGCTTATGCGCAGTCTAGTTGAATTGGTCCTCGTGCTACTGTGTTAGCGGCTAAAGTATAAACCACAAGAAAGCACACATTCTGTTCGCTTAGGTTTTTAACTTTGCTCTATTTATGACTGCAATTTGGGCACTAGTTTTTGAATTATATGGTGTTTAAAAAACACGATTTTAATGTCCTAAATAAAATCAGCAAAAAGTACAAATTTTCAAATGGAACATTATACGGGTAAGGAATTAAAGATATTATCAATATCTATAAAGATAAATCTATAAAAAACTCACTTGGTCTCCTTGTTGAAGATGATTTCAATATATTGACGTTGATTGCGTACTACAATAATATAAATATATTTCAAAGGTAGCTTTTGGCGTTCAAATAAATGGTACGCTCAATTCTCGTAGAAAATAAGCGATTAAAAAAATTCTTTGGAATCTGTTCAAGTTCTTTTTGGGAGCGGAATCTAAAACGCCGTCAGATAAAATAAGCCGCTATCATATTCGGACATTTCGTACAAATTAAGGATTAACTTAGCTACTATGTTCAGCTTAACCCTTAAAACAGCGCGCTTGAATAAATACGATCTCCCTTGCGAGAGCATTCGATGTAAACGTTCCCTTTAAAAGCCCTTTCATTCCCGTATATATCCATCTGACCTTTCTAACGGTATCCTCTAAAAAAATTATCGGCTTTGGGCATGATGAAAGTAACATTCGGAATGTCATTTTTTCTATTCCTTTTGCAAAGTTATCCCTCTATTTCGCTCTATTTTCATATTTTCTGCAATGACAAATTTATTTTTGGTGGCAGATGTGGGGTTGTGTCCTAATATCTAAGATCTCTCTTGAATTTAGTACTTTTAGCTTGCGATTTTGCCCTAATGCCTTTTAAATCGATATCGCTTTGAATTTAATTATGTAAGGCTTTTCCATTAAACTTATTTTTCTGTACACCGGAACGGATTTTAGGAAAAATGTAAAAAACTGATGCTTCCAACAATTAAGGTTTGGTATTATTCAATTTTTTTTTAATTTTAAAGTGTTAATGTGAAACTTCTTTGTTACTAATTTTGCGAAAAAAAGTTATTCTTTATAAAATTTTCAAAATTTTGTCAAAAATAAAGGTAATAGCTGTAATATATCATGATCATAATATGACTGGATTACATTTTTGTGCAAGACTTTTTATAGAGGATGCCGTTCTTTTTCCGTACAAATAATAATAAAACAATTTTCCTTATGGTGCTGGGCTGGGAGATCCGTCATCTAAATAAAGGAAAACAAATCACATAAACTTAGGTCCAGAAATAAAATGAAAAATAGTTTCTATATGTGTGTTTTTTAATGGCGCCCACAAGACTCTTTTTATCTATGGTAGCTCAATGGGAGATAAAGAAATAAATAAATAAACATAAAACATGAAAATCTTGAAAATTATGTTCAAATTGACGATGAAAGAGATATTTAAAAGCTTGCAACATGAAATTCGATCCTGCATCAGAAAAATACAGCGATCTGGAGGATGACATTGTTGAAAGGAGAACCCACATTACTTTGTATAGCGAGGCTTTGGAAGTGATTAACGACCTAAGCATTTTTGCAATTGAATACTACAATACATTTCATTATTTCAACAATTTGTGTTGATCAAAAGAAAGCGAGATATGTGTCGACAGGACATCATATGAAAAAAGCAATTGAGGACTAAAGTTCACCTGAATTTTTAATGGTTTTCTATTTTTTAGTCTTACTTAGTAACAAATCATGAACGTTTATTATGTCATAAGATTTAGTAGTTTTCCTTCTTAAATGGACAACATCGGTAGAACAGTGAGTGAAGGCTTATATTTAACAAATGTATCTTGGAAACTAAGCATTTCAAGACGTACTTTTATATGAACTTTTTTGTGTGACAACTATTTTTGAAATACCCCATACATTTCTTAATAAAACCAAGAAATATGCGTTCCATTTTGAATATACACTTTTTGACCCATATAATAATTTTGATAGACAAAGAACTGAAAACTGGAAAATTGTAATTATAAATTGTTTACACAAATACAATCATAACGTTGATTGTACAACAAGCAACGAAAATGGGAACCAAACAGCAGTTTCATCAAAACTGCACACTACCGTCACACGTGGACGCCGTTAGAGTCAAATAGAATTTTTCCCCAGAGAAATTACTACTAAAATTTATAGAGCCAGTCCCATAAATCGCCATAAACTCTCCCATTCATGACACCAAAGAAATAATTCCGCAAAACAATTAGTATTGTCAAAGTTTCAATAAAGTTTTCGACAATACACCAGACGGGAACGAGCTTGATATTTTATAATGCAAACCGACTTCAAAGGCGGTCTAATCCCTTCGCTCCCTCTTCGTAGAATGGAAGGGTTAATTATCTCATGCGGGAGGCACGGCGGTTTTCGCTGAAATATCTCATACGAGAATACAGCTTAATCCTGCGTGTGACGGTTAGATACTTGTTGAATTGTAATTACTCCCGAATATGTGAAAAACATGGAAAACTTTAAGGTTGTTAGCTCGACAGCGTTACGGCGTTAGGACGGGTAATTTATTTAAGCTGCGAAAATGTTAATTATATTTTAACCGTACAACATACTAGCCTTTTACGAGTTACTTTTTTTTTAATAATTTGATTGATGCGAAACCCGATTAAAAAACTTCATTAATTTATTTTGCTTCCAGAGCATAATTTTCTCCAGCAAATATCTAAACATAAATTGTAAGCCATAGGGCAATAAAGGAAGTCGCAACTCAAAATAATTTGACAATTTGATGGATACGAATTTGCTCACGAAGGCTCACCAAATACTTTTGTTTAGTGACCAAACTTCACTCAGAATATCATCAGCCAAGTTTAGAGCAGCGTTGTACAATAGCAAGACCACAAAGATAATAGCATCACGGTATAATAGTATTAACGGCCCATTGTCGGGTTAAGAAGGAGAGAGAGAGAGAAAGAGAGAGAGATTGCTTGTTGATGTTTTCCACCCTTTGTTTCTAGAACAAAATTTTGTCTCCAAAATCCTTCATATCTGGTAATAGATGGGATTTCAATAAGGCGTTATACGAGATAACAAACCCTTTTGTGGGCTGCCATCAAAAAATGATGAAGATACACCTCAGGACAAAGGCGGGCCAAGGAATTCTTCAGGAGCCTATTGGCCAAATTTACAACAGTGCAGCTGAACAAAAAATGGAAAACTTTAATAATGTTGCTATGTCTGCAGACTGGCCATTGTTGGAGTAAGGGGAGACATCTGCAAAAAAAAATACAAAACGATCAGACATGTGTCCTGATGTGAAAGCTTATCAAGATTGGTCTATGTAACCAAATCAGCGGCAACGAGCTACAATATCAGAACTTTGGGGTCTAATATAGGACAGACAAATCTAGATGAAGTCTATAACTATCGAGTGACAATAGATTCCTTGGGCCTCAGTGACCGTCAGACTAAATGCTAATTCTCCGAATCCGAATCGGAATCTGACTACACAAAGTTCTAGCCGTGTTGCTTTTTATAAAATAATTTTTTAAACTATAATTTTATTTATTGATTTATTGATTTGAATCTTTTTCAATCTGATTCAGGTCATACTTCAAAATCAAAATTTATTGCCTATTGCCTCTGGAATATGATTTTTTCTTATAGCCCTAAATTTTGCATAATTCACTACTTCATTGCAAAAATAGATAAGTGTCCTTTTTTTACTTTGATAATAGTTTATTATTATGGCTATTGTTTTGTCGTATCCAGGTTTAATTTTTTTAATATGCTTCTAACGATATCGAGTTTAAGTGGAAATAAATTGTGTTCGAATTTGAATAAAAATTGGATATTTTCAAACTGACACGTTGGCTCAAAATAATTCGTTGACGGTTTTCCGTTTCGTTTTCCAGGAGACATCTGATATTGTCGTGTCAAGGGAGCTTGAATATATTTCCGTTCGACGATCCGAAATGTACGTTTTCGATGGAAAGTAGTAAGTACGCGATGATCTTTTTAATAAACAAGTCAAAAATATCGGTGTGTTTCAGTATCGTACGAGATCACGTCCATAAATTACGTGTGGAAAAACGATGAAGATGTTTTGAGAAAATCGCCGAGCTTGACGACCCTTAACGCGTACCTCATCAATAACCAGACACTTATTTGCCCCATACAGTCGAGCTGGAGAGGTGAGAGTGTTTAAAAATCAGATAGCGATGAAGCGCCGTACAGTGACGATGTTAATAACAATAATATTGCATTGGTACTCTCGTTAGAAAAATAATTTAGCATTTAGAAATTAATGCGTTGAACTATATGACGCAAAGGAAGTTTACAAATTATTTAAAAGTCACAATCATTAGCCTAACAACGTATGGAACAAGTTTTGAAAAGAAATTATACACCAAAATTATAACAAAATTGTATCTAAACCCGAATGAAATTGGTTATTTTTTAATTTACAAAAAATTAAATCAAAGTAAAATAATTAAATTTAATTAAATATAATTTAATTTTAGCAAGACCTTAATTAATTAATTAAATTAACGTGCAGTACAAAAGAAACTTTATAATAATAATAATAATTTATTATAATATAAATAATTTAATATAAAATGAGCGTCATTTCAAATGAATGAGATTTAATTTAACGTTCATTTCATTAGAGTTATTTAAGTGGTGGTGGTGTTATTTAAAGAATTTACCTGAAGAAATTGTTGTGTATTTAATCTGCTAAACATTAACACGTACACCGTGTGCCAAACCATACGATCCCCTTGTTTGTTATTTGATACGGAAAACCCTGTATATTTCGACATTTTTGGAATCCTTGGTTGAAATAAAGGTCATTTTCTTAAGAAATTCCTGTTCGAATTTTGCATAGTTTAGGCAGAAATTGAGGTTATGTTTTTTTTTTTATTTTGATTGCCCCATATAAAATTGGGTTGTGACGCTACTGATCCAGGGATTGCATCAAAAATTTAACCACTGACTAAGGAGATGATGCACTATTCAATCAGACAGATGCGCCCTAGCTTATACAGGGTGTCCCAAATGGGTGGTGCCGTTTTGGCGAATTCAATTAAAATAATCTCAAGAATTTCAAATAGAACACCCTATATTTTTATTCAGACATCAATTCTAGAACAAATAATGAGGTAAGTTTGTAATTTATCTTGTATTTAAATTTTAGTTACTTTTTAAGATATTCGAGGTTTAAGATGACACCGGTATAAATTCTTCTTTAAAGTTAAACACATTAGGTTACTTTTTGACAATATTAAATAGCATATATATGATACCATTTCTTTAAAAGATATAATACTCCAGATATACGAATAAAACCTATTGCTAACAATACAAGGTATCCATTAATACGTAGAAATTTTGAATAAAATCGAATCTATACTACACACTTTAACAGATTTAATAAAACTTCAGAATTCATATTTGAAGAAATATTTAATAATTAATTGTCTAACTTGTTTGAAAATACCTCATAATAAAAATAAATAATTAAAATTTATTTTTTTGAACAAGGTAACAAATTTGAATAAATAAATCCATAAAACCAAAAAAAAAAACAGAAACAAATAACTAAAAAAAAATAAATATGGTGATACTGTAATATGTTTTTAACATATTGTCAATCCTCTGCAATTGTATAGCGTGTCATAATGCTGCGTCGTCAGTATTATTTAATGCAAGAATCTCTTGTCTAATTTTTTCCTTAAGGTCATCAACTGCATAGTTATTTCGTGATCTATACACACGATCCCTTAAAGTCTATGGGTGTAAAATCGGGACTTCGCGGTGCCCACGCAATGTCACCATTTTTACCAATTATATTTTGGAAATTCACTGAATTGGATTTTCCAAAACGGAACCCTGCATACGCTGAAGCGCATCTGTCAAACTGATTGAGTAGTGCATTATCTCCTTAGTCTGTATTTAAATTTTCGTTGCAATACCTCGATCAGTAACGTCACAACACAATTTTATATGGGGTAATAAAAATATGAAAAAAAGACACATAACCTCACTTTCTGCCTAAACTATGCAAAATTTGAATAGGAATTTCTTAAAAAGTGACATCTATTTTAACCAAGGATTCCAAAAATGTCGAAATATGGAGGGTGATCCGTTTAAAATAACAAAGTTGATGTCGCGGGGGACCCTGTAGCAAAAAAAATATAATATTTTAAATCTTTGGAAGAGTCCAAGAAACTTTTTTTTCGTATCTCCTATGGGTTTCAGGATCGTATAGTGGATCGTTTTATTTGACACACAGTGTACATAAACAATGTAGGTGGTTTTGATTATTAATATTTCATTAGCAATGTTATTATTGATATACTGAGAAAACTTATAACGATATTTGGTAAACCCAAGGTATACAGACCGTAATTTTGGTATTTATACCGACGAATTTCGATCACATTCAGCGAAGTCTTAAATTACGACCGCATACACATCAGCCAACAGACAAGCTGATCGATACAACATTGTTTTGGTCCGCAGGCAACTACAGCTGTCTGCGGGTGCATCTGATATTTACGAGAGATCGAGCGTTCTACTTTACGACCGTATTTATACCGGGGATTATCCTCGTTACTTCATCTTTCATTACGTTTTGGTTGGAATGGAACGCTGTGCCAGCGAGAGTGATGATCGGTAAGTTCGTGGTATTTTTGAAAGCTTCCCGGTTTTTAACGGTAAGTGCGACGTACATTTAAAACCTTCATTCGTTCAAGGAAAAGCCGCCTCGAAAATGCAAAAGCTTTTAGAGATGTCGGCGACAAGAGATCACGGCCGTTACACTTGACGCTTGGCGTCAGTATGTTGCGAGAGGAAAAAAAAGATTATCCCTATAAGTAGATAGTTAAGGCCAGATGAAAGACCTAATTTTTAAAAGAACCGGCATGCGCTGGCCTCATCACTAACACGTGTTACCATACAGTTGCGGTTCTTTAATTTGTTGGGCGTATCGCGTTTGTTTTTATTTCTGTCACAATTTAATAACAATAAATATATTTAATAAACAATAAATATGCTTTTTTTGTGAAATCTGATAAGTTTAACACATTACTTTTTATAAAACTTCTCGATTCCTCCTGCGTCGGTTTTTGTTGAGCCGAACTTGCTAACGTTTCGCCAATCATAATGTTGGCTTCTTCAGATCTCGACTGACACTGGCTCACATTTTACTCGGTACCTGCTTATATATTGTTTGATGTGCCGGAGCTAAATGAGGGGCTTAAACACCGTCTCGGATGACTGATTCCCATATTGGTGACAAGTAAAGCCCTGAGTTGCGGTTAAGATTGTAAGGTTGCTTATGGATTTATATAGACTCTTGGATTTTCCGTTGGTAGAAGAATTTTAGTTTTATCCAATAAAGATTTATGTCTTAAGGTTCTTCCATATTATTTGAGCCTGGCTGATATTTTTCGTCCGGTCTCTCCAATATATTCTTCGCTGCAATTTTTTCTTTGACGGATCGAACATGTTGAGAGATTTTTGGACAAGTGGTAAACCTGGTTTTGACGTTATATTTCTTTAGAAATTTTGATATATAGTCAGTGATGTTTTAAATGTAAGGAAGGACAACAGGGGCTTCATTGCTATTGGAAAGCTGTGGTGAAGTGTATCTTGGGATGGAACGCTTAATATATTTAATGCGGAAATTATTAGAGAGAAGAGCAGAGGCAAGGTGTTTTAATTCTGTTTTCAGTGACTCGGGCTGAGATAGTTTTACGGCTCTCTAAATAAGATAATTGATAACTGATGATTTTTGACAATGATGACAATGCATTAAGGTATCGGTCCGTGTGCGTAGGTTTTCTGTAAACCCAATGACCCAATGTTTGGTCTGATTTTCTGTTGAGAAGAATATCTAAGAATGGGAGGTTGTTATTAGTTTCTAATTCAATGGAAAAAAAAATCTACTAGGGATTCTTGACCAGTATATTATGGAAGCCTTTGAGAAGAAAGGTCTCGACACCTTCCATCTAAAACCAAAATTATGGAAACGCTACGTCGATGATACTTTCCTTATTTGGCCTCATGGTCAAGAATCCCTAGTAGATTTTCTTAGACATTTAAATTCTATACACCCTAACATACGTTTTCCCATTGAATTAGAAACTATTAACAACCTCCCACCCTTAGATATTGTTATCAGTAGAAAATCAGACGCACAGAAAACTTACGCACACGGATCCGGTCCAAAATAGCGGTCGGAACTTGTGATATTTTAAGTAAATGAAGCAGCATTCAAATTGAAAAACCTCTAAGTTGTTTATCGGGGAGCCTTTCAAAGCAGATACCATAAAGAAGATCTAACGAAACTAATTTTTTGTTCGAGCTACTTCTGATAAACAAAGTGTTAAACAAAGTTTATTATCGCCTGGAAATTTCCATAATCTTGTTCGTTCCATTCTGACTTTAATTTCGTCTCACTTGTAATCTACAAACATCATCAAGGGTCCTTGAATTTGCCATTTCGTTTGTTACGGACATAGTTGTTATTTTACTTTATCCGTTATTTGAAGCGCGTTTTTCCTTGTTAACCGACAAAGCTACCTACGACGGAATAAGAATACCGTTACTATAGTTTATAGTGTTATAAAAAAAGGATGATTTAAAAAAAACATTTACTTTCATTTAATTGAACTTTTAAATATTCTTATTTCACTGTTTTCTTTCTTTTTTACTCCAAAAAACTTCTCGAAAACATCTAATTTCGTCATAGCAAAAAAGTCGTTTCTGGTCCTTACATATTTGAGTCAGTTTGAAGGTAAATTATTGCAGCAGAGGCATTTATTTCGATTTTTTGAAAATGTTAAATATTAGTTTCACGATAATGATGACCGAGTGATGCTGTGGGTCTAATTCCTTTTTTAAAATCTAATGTTTCTAATATTTCTAAATTAAAACATCTGCCTGGAATCTCATCGAAGAATTGATCATCAAAAATAATATTTCTCATAAGGTTGTGATTGTAATTCACGCCAAGTGGTCTACTGCATCTTAAAATTTCATCAGACACATTTTCCATTGCGAATGAGAGAAACTAAAGTTTTAACTTAACATCAACAAAAAAGAATGTGAAAAAACTAAAAATGTTGAATTCAAAATAACGTCAGAAAAATTAGGTTATCACCTATTAATAATAATAACAATAATAATAAACGACTTTTACCAATTAGTTGTACCGTCGACTAACGCAGTCTAGCTTAGAATAGCTACGTTGCTGAACCAGTCCGTGGCACAATAGTACACAACAAAATTATAGATGATGACGTTCCATCCCAGCTATGAATTTTGAAGGCATGGTTATAACAAATGCACGAGAAAAACTTAAAAAAATACAAAAAAAAATCTCTTCAGAAAATTCTGTAGATGCATTAATTCTTTTTTATATTTGATTTTTAAACGTATTAAACATGGCACAGAGGCATTGTTAAAAATTCCCTAGCCCTAACATTCCTGTTATCTACAAAGTACAAAGATCATTTGTTACAAATACAGTTTTCCTAATAATGTGTTGCTAAATATGTTATTAGCAATGGATTATATTGACTTATCAAATTCTTTATCTTCAATTGCATTTTCTATAGTGTGTAGTAGAGTTATCTTGTTCTTCTGATTCTGCACGTATTTTTCGTATTTTATTTGTGGTTCATCTATTTTTTATTTCAATAAATAGTGAGCAATTTATTAATTATATAAATAGTTCATTAGCGGGTCAGTAGAGTAGCTATTTAAAGCTAGACTGCGCCGCTTTTGAGTTATCTGTTTACTTTGTATTGAAGAATATTAATATTGTTTTTTTTTTGTTATAATAAAAGCTATTTAATATTATTATTACTATTATTATTATTATTATAATTATTATTATTATTTCGCACCTATACAGTATTTGTTCCGAAATCGAGGACGGAGTATCGAGATCGTTTATAGTCCTAAGCTACCCAATCTGTTTATAAAAGTTAGAAATATGATCATATTTTCTAAAGCCTTACACAACGCCATATGTGCGGTTTTGATTTTTTTGAATTCTACACTCACTCTCATTATCCAAACAAAAACCATATACAAAATTACAATAATTAAAATTTGATAAGACAAAGGACCCGCACAACTTTTTCCTTAACTTTTGACCTAAAATTTGCCTATTACTGTATAATATTTTTAATGCTTTTATGCTTTTTAAATCTTAGCCCGCCATCTAAACAAATGCACAAGTTATTAATGAAGTTAATCACTGTGAGATCGATTAAAATATTTAAAGAATTTTTCATCCTATTCATCTTATTTTTATTACCAAAAAGCAATAATGAAGATTTTGTAAGCTTTAACTTAAGATTATGGCCTTTGGAGATTTCACTCAAAGTTCGTAAATCGTGATTTATTATTATTTTATACTTCCAAAATATCATCATCATCAAAATAATAATTGTCGGCAATTTTACAGAAAGTTAATGATATTAGAATGTCCGAAGTATACACAATAAATAACAGAAGACCTAAAATGGACCCCTGTGGCACCCCGAAACTAACTAACCAAAACTTTGGTATATTATTTTTGCTTTTTATTATTTAGATACGATGACATAAGAGTAAAAGATTCATTATAAAATCCATAATGTTTTACCTTTGATATTAGAAGCTGATAATTGATGATTGTATTGTAAGCCTTCGACAAACCTGACAGCACAAGAACGGTATTTATTTTCTTATCATACGCTCGAACAATATCATCCAATACATTAACCAATGCTACTTGTGTCCCAGACTTCTTTTTAAACCTACATTGCGTAAATGGAACAATAATGTTTGCAATAAAAAATTTGGTAATCGTTTCCTTATTGATATCTTCGACTCATACGGAAAGCAGCTTATTTTGATTGTATGGGTAATATATTTATCAATATATGGACTACAGTACTTTAGCATTAACGGTGATATGTCATTTAGACCAGTTGTATTTGTTTCAATACCATTAAGTGCCTTATTTACTTCTATTATTGTTGAAAGTTAACAGGAAATTGCAAATTTTGACTAGTGATTGTTTTCATTGAAATCGGAAATAACCTCAATAAATGTACCAAAATAACTTAAATTATTATCAACTATTGGATATAGCCATAAACATATGTCATCAAAATACGATATGAGACTATTAAAATATAAAGATGGAGGCCTGTAGAAAACCAAAAAATGTATAGACTCTATTCTTGATTTTTGTTTTAAAAGCAATACATTCTAATTGAGCGTTAATGTCAAGGTCCATCTCCATATTATACCTTATACTCATGCTTGACATAAACAGGAACTCCACTACCCCTTCCAATACTACCTTTTCTAAAAAAATTGGAAATAAAACCCTCAAACGGCCCAGAGACATCACCCTCCGAGAATCATGTTTCAGATAGGAACATTATATCAAAATTATTGTCAATAATTATACATTTTAATTAATTAAAACCAGTAAAAATCGATCTTACGTTCAGATGACCAACCTTCATAATAACGATCAGTTCCGCAAGAAATATACACTCACTAAATTTTCTGTAAAGCAAACTAAAGCAAGCAAAACAACGCAGTAAGACAAAAGTGTACCACAGTATGACGAATCCGCCCCAAAATATTGATATAATGATTATCGCTTAATGACAGAAATATTAAAAATAAGTGTATTAAATATTTACCGATAAATACTAAGAAAATTGATGTGTGGTTTAAGATATTGTATTAGGTGTATACCAAAAAAAGAAAAACAATCCAATATAAAAGAAAAAAAGAAAGTTATGTTTCCGTTCAACACCCACGCTCTTTTCAAAGATAACATTTGAATGGCGCGAGTAAATACGGAAAGTCGACTTTTTGTTAAGTCTTCTTTAATTTGAACACCAGTGTGTTTTTTTAATATTTATGATTCGATAGCACTTTTTTATATCGCCACTGAGAATGTTTACCTTCAATTTATTAGTAAATAATTCCTTCACCTTGGCCCAAAGATTTTCGCTGTCTTCCATGTGCACGCCAAATATGTGAACATTCAAATTGCGGCGGATTAACAAAGTTCTTTACTCTCATCCTCAGGGGACTCTAATTTAGCCATTATGACCGCTATTTCCTCATTTTGAGCAATCAGCCCTGCTTTAAATTTCTTTTTTACCATACCTGCTACTTTTTCCGCATTTTCTTGTATTAATTTATCATTAAAAACGGCAGTGATTGTTGATTTTATTTCACGTACGTCCGATGTTGACAGAACCATTTTGGCGGGAAACTTTTCAAAGAAATACTCAACATTTTCAATCAAATAAGGCACCAACAAATCAAATAGAGTTGATCGGCACACAATACGTGAGTTACCGGTTACAATACAATCAGTTTCGCTGATTAAAACATACATTAAACCCCAATAAGCACATCGAACTTGCAGAGCGATATGTCACACAACGGTACAATCAGTGCGCCATCTACCGACCCTAATAAAGTTACATTAGAGGCCAAAAAATATATAATATTAACCAAAAGGTTATGAGTGTTGGTCTGGCAATCGATCAAAGGAGCAACAGAAATTGGTCAGCTTTTAATTGACGTTTGATTTCAGGAGTAACAACAATGCTCAACTTTTTCACGACGTCGAACGGATTCCGATCGACGTTGCCGGTTGTGTCAAATTTAACCGCAATGAATGTATGGGACGGTGTGTGCATGTGTTTCATTTACGCATCGCTCTTGGAATTCGTCTGCGTTAACTACGTGGGTCGGAAAAGACCGCTTCACAATGTCGTTTATCGTCCTGGGGAGAATCCGTTTACGCAGGTCAGTAGTGCGCCCCCACTTTCTCCGCCTTTTTTAGGTTAATTGAGAAATAATACCGATTTGAAGCGAAATACTAGTCCAGAAGTCAAGTTAGAACTTTTGAAATTGAAATTCAAATTCAAAAAGGGATTCGAATTACTTAATAAACGGAAATATCCTTCTGGGTTATAACGTTCGAATCATTTCGGCATAATTTTGTGAATTTAAAGGTCAAGACTTTGCAACCCCTGTATAAAATAAAAAACAATCGCTTTGAATATAAATCATTACGATTCCGCCTAATTTAATTCACTTTCTAATTTAAACGATTGCCACGCAACCATAAACTGTATCGATATTTCTAAAGTTCTCTTTTAAGGTCAACTCATAATACAGTTGCACGCCTAATACAAATAAAATTCCATTTACTGTACATTTTACTAAACAAGTGTGTGGAAATAATATTCCATTTTTCATTTCGAGCAGTTCACTATGTAAATAAAACATTTCGAACCAGCGACAAAAATATACTTTTTGTGTCAGTTTGGCATCATCGGTGTGTTTTACGAACGACTAGACCATGCCCGTAATTAATTTGAAAGCTGAGACCTAGTTCAATGGATTCGTTCAAAGATTGTCTTCTATGGTCTACGGTAACATTAGCCATTAGCCCTTGTAGTTAATATATCGTATTAAATTAAAGTTTGGTGGGTTCAGTCGTTCGATTTAATCCATTCTATTCTATTTTCTTCTCTCTTTCTGCATGACTTGCATGCCTAAAGTGTTGTTTCCTTAATCGTCGACAATAACGAAAGCAATTTTTGCAAATTTTTAATGTACGCACTTAATAAATGAAGCAAAAAACATAATTTTTCCAATTTTTATATCTCTCACAGGTTTTAATTGTATATAATATAATGTAAAATAAATCGAATAAAATCAGTTTGATAATTTAATTATAATAGTATGCAATAAGTTTCATAAACGGCATTTCAGACACGAGTTCGATTTGGCGCGAGCGGAGCGAGTGCTTAACAAACAAGTAATTGTAGCAGGTTATTAACATGTTGTATACTGTACTTTTTCTACAACCATTACTTTTGAGTACAATTTTAGAAAACAGCACCAACACATTCAACGAGTGACGTGTGATGTCAAAATTAACAAACTTTAAAATGCCATAGCTAAAATCTATATAAATGATCCAATGGCTCCCAAACCCGTGACTAAAGTACCGGAACGTTCGAAAGAGCCATTGGTAAGGAAACCGAAGTCTTAAAGTGGCCTTTTCGCACATTTAGTTCGTGATAATTAAGTATTTTTGAGTAAGGAGTCGAAAAAATATTTTAATCCTGTTTTATGCACTGGAAGGGGGATCCTTGGTAAGGGATAGTGACAATTTACTTTGAATTTCTAAGAAATGTACACCCTTGTGAAATCTTTATTTATGGATCGATTTTGACATTTTTTTTGTTGAATAGATCTCTGAAAAATACACTAAAACCTTGTTTTGCGTATTGCTTTAACTTAAACTCGTGGCCAGGGTATATGAAGATCATTACGCCTGTACATCGTTGTAAAATCTTTGATTACGGTTGATAACACCCTATATTTCTTTTTACATCAACCTATATTTATGGCCCATTGGGACTAATTTTTAATATCAAATATCGAGAATGGCTATTGGGGATCTAAAGAGAAATGAAACGGTTTTTTCGTATAGCATCTGCTAGAAATAGTGTTTTGAAGCGGAAAATCGAGAAGTACTTTTAGAAATTTTTTCAAATTGAAAATGACAACTGATTCGTATTCAGTAACTAGACCAATGACCAACATTTTGTATGTGATTTTAAGATCTTACAAATTTTAATTAAACAAATTTCAAAATTAATGATAAAAAAGACTTTGTAAGGGACATCTTAAAACAACAGCATTAATAAATCATAGTATTCGAAAGGTATAATGTTAACAAAATTAAAATCTAAATTGCGAGTTAATTTGACAGTCGAATATTCGCTTCTCCGTGACAAACTTGATTTTACAAAAGAAACAGTATGCCAACATTAATCAATTTTGATATTTCTGTTATTTTCATTATTAGAGTAGAAATAAAAAAATAATTTGAAGAAAATCGTTGTCTTTCAGTTAAATCTATCCAACAAAAAAAGAATTATCAAAATTGAGTTGTAAACAAATATTCTATAGGCGTAATGCTTAAGCAATAGTCCTCAATATTTCGAGCACCCTGTATTCGAACTTAAAGGAAATTAGTATAGTTAGGTTTTATGTAGTCCTGAATAAGAATTCGTTGACGCTTTATTCTTAAATAAATCCCTAATAGTCCTTCTCGATATTTTTCATTAAAAATGAGTCCCAGATAGCCATTACTTCAGATTGATGGAATCAGAAACATAAGTTTTAGTGCGTTTTTGAGAGATCTATCCAACAAAAGAAAAAATGAAATAGTAAAGAAACATTTTACAGCGATGTACAATCTTAATCGCGCCACAAACGATGTTTCAAACACCCTGTATTGAAACATTATAGTCTTAGTCTCTCTTAGCCATCACTTTAAGTCGAAGCAATAAACAAAACAAGGTTTTAGTACATTTTTCGAAAGACTTATCCAACAAAAAAAAAGATCAAAATCAAATCATAAACAATGATTTTGCAAGGGTGTACAGTTCTTAAGTTGAACACACTGTATAGAAGTATAGAAATGTGCTTTAATATTTACAAGTATAAAATTTAATTCGTTTTTTTAATTCAAGGTAGAGAGAAAATAAATTGCTTATTTTACGCTACTTGTTAATTATTCACAATACGTCTCCGGATTCAACGCCGCATGGTACAAATTTTTGGAAGAAACTTTACCATTCCAACCTTCATATCGCACCTAACCTTTTGTAAATATAATCAACGACCTTTTTTGAAATAAATTATTATTCCACTATAATTTTCCTGAAAAAAAAGCGTTACCCGTAGTTCATCTGTTTCATCCCGCGGGCATGCGCAAAAGCAATCGTAACTCTTTCAAGTTAACCCTTCGCCGCAAAGCGAACTTTCACACCCAACAATCGAAATAAATATTAACCGCTTACCATTGTTAGGACCCTTGACTGCTCTTTGCCAATGGCACTAGTCGTAAGATTGTACGTTGTTCATGTTACAGCGTCTGCCCGCTGTTCTGAGCAGGATAGGCATTATACTGGCCAGTCCCTTGGTAAGCGTCTAGGTTACTACTTATTTAAATTTAGCTGTTCATCGAGCTGCATTATATACCGTATACTACGTTTTCCCTGAAAGCATTTTATACAATGCTCGCATACTTGCACGGCTCAGTTGCATGCGCATGGCGATTAATTGAAAAACGTACGAGTTTTGTAAATTAAATAATGACACTTCGGCTGATAGACTTGGATCGGCAAAAGGAAAACGTGATCTGCCTCCATTACGGGTCTGAATTTACTCAAGTCATTTGGTTATCTATTGCGATTTTTTTTTGTGAAGGAGTGTTATATGAAAATGACTGACACCAATTTCGAGCAACGGTTTGAGGTTTTGCTTCAGAATTGGATGTAGTGTTTTATCAGATTTGTGAGGCATTTTCGAAAGAAACAGGGTCCGATTGAAGACGAACCACGAGGCGCAAAGATGGATGAATTTTTTTGACAGAATCCGTGATCTTGTGCGTTCAGATCGTCAGAGTTGAATTTGACCCACAACACCGTTCACCAGATATCGATCAATGAATTGATGATGCGCAAAATCTGGTCAAAAATGGTTTTAAGACAGCTTTAGCAAGAGCAAAAGTGCAGTAGACAGAAAAGGTGACTTGACAGAAACCAAGCTCCAGAGTATGAATAGCATACCTCTCCGCACAAAAAAGCAATGATGAGAAAGTCGACGATCAGATACATGCTGATTGGCTTGTTCGTCTACGGAATTGTCCATACTCAATTTTTACCTTAGGAGCAAACGGCAATCCACAGCTTTACTAGAAGGTTCTCAAAAAACTTCAAGGAAAGGTGATTCACGTGAGACCGAATATCAAGAAAAACTATGTTGCATCACGAGCTAATGCTTCTTATTTGCCTTACTTAAGTCATAATGACTGATTTTTATTCCCAACTCGAAAACGTTCAAACGGCTGTAACCGACTACTTGGAAGCTTTTATAGCAGCACTGTGTGGCTTCAGAAGGAAGTTACTTTGAGATTAACAATATATAATTATAATTCTATTAGAATAAAAAAATTAAAAAATACTCTCATTACTTAATTTACAGACCTCGAATACAACTGTTGAAGTGGGATTTGAAAGAAAAGAACTACATCCCTTCTTTTACGGTATCCGGACTAATAAATTCGGGACGTTTTAATTTTGCGATTTTTAAGGGCAGTTTCAAAACACCGTTTGCTTAAATTAAACACAATTTCCTCCTCTCCATCCATGGACGCGCTTGCTTACCGCACGTTTTACTCATATAGTCGTAAGTTTTAAGGAAGACGAAAGATTTAGATACTCTATCTGTGCTTTTAGCTGTAGTTTTGAATGCGGTACTTTATTAATATTAATACTTTTTAATAATCGGAAAGAACAGCTCTAGTAAATCGTACGATAAGTGCGTGTGTTTGTGACAACCTTTAAAATAAACCAGACGTCAACAGGTATACATAGCTAAGAGAAGGTAGCTCTATATACTAGACTCTAAAAGGCCGAAAGAGACTCGAGCTTGATGCATGTTTTTTTACGTTCCTTCAAACCGAACTCAGACTGCACAAAAAGTCCCAAGATCCCGCTTTGCCCTGTGGTTTGCTTGCTTTTTTCATTATACCACTTTAATCAAGTTGACTTTGTTACAATTGATAGGAGACTGCGGTACAAGAATATTATTCCACATTCTGTGAGAGTCCCGAAAGTATAGTAAGTTGGAATTTCGACTAGGTTTGTTAAAGTTGCAGAACTTTGTTGTAGTTTGTTTTAGTACCTTACCGCTTTGTAACGTGGTGGTTGAACGTTGCTAACACCTGAAACAAAATCATTTGTTAATTTTACGAAAATTTTCTCTATTTTTTTTATACCCGTCGGAAATTTTCTTTTCTACATTACTTAATAATTGATAAATTCTGTACCAAGAACTGAAAGCAACATAATATGCTGAGTAAATGTTTTCTACATCCTACATGACACTATAATTTTCTTCATTTATTTAAAATCAGCACAAAAAATAAATTTATATCCAGTGTTGCGTTAAAATTTATTCTATTTTTAATCCATTTACTGGCATTCGCTTTGAAAGTATTTGGTGGTGAACTAACCATACTAGTATGTAGTTGTATACGTTCAAAGCTACATATATATACAAAATGCGTTTTCTGGGATCCACAGGGCGACAAGAAAAGAGACTCTGTCACGCTGGCTAACGAAATAATTAGTTGCGCCAATTGTGGACCAAATCCTTGTAGTCACACGAACAATGGCTGTCCTGCTGAAGTAAGTATTTTGACAAATTACTTAGGGAACAGAGTCTCGTCAATAATCGCAAAATTTAGTTTAAATAAGCTGATGACATTTATAGTATATTATGCAACAAGTGCGGTAAACGGTATTTGACATTTGACACGAGCGGAGCGCAGCGCAGCGAGTGTTTAAAAAACCAGTGACTTAAAAGTTTATCAGACGTGTTGCACATTATACTTTTTCTACGACAGTTAGTTTTTGGGTACATTTTCGCAAAACAACATGGTAACTGGCATGGCCGTCAGAATTGACAAACGTCAAAATTCAAAGCGTGGGAAATATCTCCGAAAATATCCGACGCTTCCCGCACGCTAGATCGGTGTGTAATTATTTTACAGACGGGAGTAGAAAAATTTATTTGAAACTAAACGTTGCGAGAAATTGACAGCTAGATTTGAATATAACAGAGTCAGTTGCACGAAAGTTTCAAATATGTCAAAAATTAGTAAAAAGTAGCACAAAAAGTATAATTTTCATATATCTTTAAAACGACTGTGCAACAGCTCCGTTGTTAAATAGATCTTAAGTGAACTTTAACGACCAACAGATTCTTAACTATTAATTTAACTTTGAACAGGCGCGCCTTTTGCAGGTCAGGAAAAAGGAGCCGCCCCACCCAATCAGAGTGGCGAAGACGATTGACGTTATAGCTAGGATAACGTTCCCGACAGCTTTCGCGGTATTCCTCATATTTTTTTTCTACCATTACAAAAGCTTTACAAACGCACACGATTAGAAACGGCTAAAAATTACAAACGTTTTAAACGAAACTGCTTACTTACATACACAAAACATATCAAAACCAGTGAATGAACCAGAGTGGTACTTAAAAATAGTGTGTAAATATATTTGAGACGTGTGCCATGTAGAGGAAAAATAATGTGTCAGCTTCTATATACGCAAGTTTCAAAGCTGATCAACCGAGGTTCGCAAAACGTGTAGCTGTTACAGCACTGTATATAATTTTAAGAAATTTCATATTTTGAGATAGCTATATGTATATTTTCTGCAAGTATTATATATGTATACACCAATCTGATTTTTGTTTAAGACTTGTGATATAGGAGTGATCGGCGAGGTTTTCGTGACAGGTAGTACGTGCGGTATGTTTCATTAATAATCGGATTCCCCTAGAAACGAAACAAAAATAAGATCCTTTTTACATTCTGTTATCTGCAGTGATAAAATAAATTGTCATGCATTGCAATTTTTTTAACACGCCGTATATTTGGATTGATTGAAACATCTCGCATAAAACGATGTAGGAAGCCGATCACTTCGGAGATAAGGAAACACTTTTTTATTGTTTTGCTGTTTCACATAGTAGCGAAAAAAAAATTAAATATCATTTGTTGGGGTCATTCCACAACCCTTAATTTATATGATAAATTCGTCTATATAGTGATATTTCTAGTCAGCAGCGTCACATATTATGTGCATGCGGTGTAGAACCAAGTTGTACAAAATCATTTTAAACTTACGTACTATTGAATATAGAGCAATGAGCATTAGCCACGCAAGCAGCCATGAATTTAAGGCACCGCTACTGAGTTCGACGCCATTTGCCGAATTTTGGAATAATTAAAAGAGCATTTTCCTTAGTGTTGGTGCTGTGAAGTTCATGCGGTCTTGCATGCAGCAGTTTTTGATAGTCGAAACACTAAAACTAACAAAGACTGATGCCGTGTAATCGCGTTTATTCCCTTGCTGAAAATAAAACACGAATTTTATCGAATTTAACACGTTGATTTTTAAACAATCACGATCTTGACGTTGTGTTATTATTAGGAATATTAAGTATATAAAGTTATTTTTACACACCTGATAGGTAAAATTTGTTGGGACTCTGCATTATAATTTTTATTTGTAGTTGAAGTTTCGGAAGTTATATTATATGTTTAACCACCTCTCTGTGATTAATGTTATGTGAACCGTACCTGACATTTTGTTCATCGAACACACATGGTTATTTATTTGTAACGCCTTCATTGTCGAGTTTCGCCTACACTTAATATTATGAGCTTGAATTTGCACTGTTATTGCGAGCAACCCCATCGCAGACATAAAAATAAATGGGAGGTTTCCACATCTCGTTCGTAAGTGTGAGATAAATTTTTGTTGCCTGTAGCTTTAATTGCAATTTCTGAGTGAGGCGCTAGCCATATTCAAGCTTATTTATATTCTTATATAAAAACAAATATCTTATATAAAAACACCACCGTTTCAATTTGCGAACGAACTCAAGAATCGCCCTGTTTTTCGCAACAAGAGCTTCTGGTGCTTGTGGTTAAAGCAATGTGATATTTGGAATTGCTTAAAACTTTTACCCTTGTCCCATTTAAATAATATTCGGCAAACTGATGCGCCAAAAGACAAAGTACATTCCAATTGCGATTTTAGCAGTAGGGCTTGTCAGTAACATTTGATATGTTGTTTGTGTTTTTTTTTAATGTTAAATTCTATATGTACATCAAGATACCCAATACTGGACATTAACATCATATAGTAGAGAAATAGGGGCCTACAGCTTACCAAGTTTAGTTTTTATCGGATCAATGATACGTAACAGTGTAAATATACCCAAGAATCTAGTTAATTCGTAAGAAATCGCATACTCGATTGGTATTACCCGCATAGATGTAGTCCTTTTTCACATCAGCTGTATTATAATATATACAAAAGTAAATTTTGTAATTAAAAAAATTCTAAGTGGCTAAAAGCTTTAAAGTGACCTCAATTTTATATATGATAACTATTGTAATCTTAACCATTTTTTGGCTTTAACATTGCCTTTTAATATGCACCAATTTAACCACAATTTGATATTTGATATGATATAATTAGATGATAAAGTTTAAGAAGTAATTGCATTCGGCTCAGATGTATATATTGCACACATCGAATTCATAATGAATACCCTGTGACTTACGACGTTTCATTTGTTAAAGTTTACGAATAAATAATTCCATCTAAGTCCTAAAGAATATTACTCCCACCTCCGCCCCTTTACCAACATCGACCCACTTAATGGAGTTAAACATTACGTATGAAATAATAATTACGATACCGGCCTAATTACAGACTAATGTAATTTTTTAATAAAATTTGACATTTAAGACGATTTGAGAACATTTTGGTTTTTGGTTGAAGAGAGAGAGATAGAGGGAGAGGAGAGAGAGAGAGAGAGAGAGAGAATATAATTAAATATCCTAATTAATTAAAATGATTTTTTTAAGAAAATAGCAAATATTACCTTGTAGAAACTATCGAATTTTACTTAACTTATTAAATTTATTAATCAATATTACTTTTTACAAAACGTCTGGATTCCTCTTGCGTCAGTTTTTGCCGAGTCAACAGGATGATTGGCGAAACGTCAGCAAGTTCGACTCATCGAAAACCAAGTTTTGTAAAAAGTATTACCTATGGAAGTTTCTTTGGAAAATTAATCAATATTTGTTTAGCGAAACATCATTCGTATTCTCTGGTTGGCTCAAAAAGAATTTTGAAATTTGGTATCTCAATATTCTCGGTTAGCTACTAGATATATAGAGATCCTGCTTATGATAATAATTCGGGAACATTTAAAACCACCATGAAAAAATATTAAAAATAGCCATTCAATATGCGCATGTGCTCTCGTTTTCAATCAATCAGACAATGCGGCGTTTGACGCGTACCATGGCCGCTGACATTTCGACAGTTTTCGGTTTAACTTTTACTTTTAATAATTTCGCAAAATATGCCCGATCCCGATAAATGTAAAACAAGTTAAGAAGTGTTGTATTATCTAATAGCTATATGTGTAGCTAGCTTGAAAATTGAAACTACTGTTATGAAAAATCAGTCGGCTAATATTAATTTTAATAAAATAACATCTTAATACTATCGAAGACATTTTCCAGACATCCGTTTGGAAAACGGGCCTACATTGCGACCTGACAGCAAAATCAGCGGGAAGACTCATTTCCACTTGCCAAAGTCTGCAGAAAGGGCTCAACGTATTATCCGAAAAGTCGCATGAGCTTGGTGATTTTGCGGATCAGATTCAGCACATGCGATACCAATTCGAAGCGGCTAGATTTTTTGTCGTCAACCGATCAGTCGTATTCTATCAAATAAACAAAACAATCCAGTGGCTGATAGCAATATTGCTGGGAATGGTTCAGGTCTCCCCGCCCACGCAAACATATCAATATAAAGGAAACAATTTTGTCACTAATTCTAGTTCATTTTTATTAGTAAGTAGTAACAAGAAATAAAAATATTGTCACTGACATGTATTACACAAATTTAACAAATATAATAGTGTACCCACACTAACACATTTCAGCACAATCTCTCTATTTATACGACCTTCGACATCATTTCTTATGGTCCCAAGTTGACTTGATTGGTTTGTGTTGTCCCTGATTGCAAAAAGTAATTCCCAAATGATCCCACAACGGTTCGATAGTCATTGAAAAGTAGTTTTTTCATACATGAAAATATGTTTATTTTCCAACTACACGAAGACCAATTATTTACCAGTAGGCCGTGATTGTATCTTAAAAACTGTGGTGATTAAAATACAAGATGTGAAAGGAAAAAAAGGATTCTTATTAATATCTCAAATATTTTTTGTCGATTTTGTTCAATCAATCAAAATCGACAACCAAAAAGTTGTACGTGGGGTGTGTAACCATAAAAACAAATATTCAATTTTACCACCCAATGTTGGTCTGTCAGTGCAAGTTCCAAGCCTAAAGTCCTAAAAATTTTGGAATGTTTATATAGTTTTTTAAATTGTATAATTTTTTTGAATTAATCGCATTTTTTATCAAATTCCCATTCCCAGATAAGGTTTTGTGAAACCATGTTTCCCTAGTTATATTAATAAAAAAATATTTCAGCTTTCTGAGCTTTATTTCTTAACACACCCACATAATTGCCAAAGCCACATTATCAATGCTAACCCCTCCCTTTTTTTTTAATTTTGATTTCACGTTTCTTATTTAACACAACACACAAATGGGTAGCAATGTTTTAGCCACGGTATAAAATGACATAGGCTTTTGTTTTGGTTACATATTTTGCGCTTCAGGTTTAAGTACATAAGTATATATTCTATATAAACATTTTATAATTCATTCTTTTTTATGACAGTTTGTTGACCATTGTTAATTAGAACAAATTAAAAAATATTTTTCTATAATTTTCCTTATAATTAGTGATACAAAAATACACTTAAAGTATAGAGGATCCACCAGTTCTTAAAAAATGTTTGCTTTAACAATTACAATTATGAGAAGGGGGGTCAGTGAGCTCTGGTTTGATGCAGTCTTTAGGACGATTTCGTGAGTCAGGCAATAATGCAGAATCTACAGCCAATTCCATGCGAATCATGACTCTCTCCAGCAAGGTTTCTACTGCTCTGGCTACATTTTGTCCAGTGGCCGCGCTCGTTTCTAAATATGGAAGACTGCAACTCATCCCAATTCGAGTGACAACCTAAACATTCACTATTACTGCCTTACCCATTTTTTTCCGCGAATTCCCTTGCTCGCCATTCAGTGATAACCCTTCTATCCTCAAGATCTGCTTTGTTTCCACAAAGAATTACATCGGGAGCATCACAATAGGCATGAAGCTAGTATGACAAATATTTTTAATAGGTATACAATTACATAGGTAACTACAAATTCTCAAAAATCAAAGAAAGTGCAAAAACCAAAATAGGACATGCTGAATTGTGCAAAATAAAAAGAAGATTATAAAAATATTCAAAGTTAAGCAAGGCGTGTGGTTCTGGGTTTACCATACCCGCAGTTGTTCGATCCAGTTGCGAATCTCGAGAAATGACTGTTCATTAGTTAAATCAAACAGTAGTAAAAAACCCATTGCGTCCCGATAAAATGCTGTTGTTAGGCTACGAAATCTGATAATCAAAAATTGGGACGTCTATATAGAACTATATTATCCTACATAAATTTAACAAATGTTTTTATAACCACTCACCTCTCTTGCCCTGCAGTATCCCAAAGTTGTAAATGAATTCGATGGTTTCTGCCCTTGGACTGGTAAACCTACGAAATTTTGCTAAAGAACGAAGCTGATAAAATTTGTAAAAATTACCATTCTCTTTTCCCGAAAATCAATACCAACTGTTGAAATAAATCTAGAATTGAAACTACCATCAGTATACTGATATAGAAAACTGGTTTTTCCCACTCCTGAATCTCCGAGAGCCAGAAATTTTATTAAATAATCATAATCCATTCCTACAATTAAAAAAAAATGAAAAAGGCGATTTTAAAATTTTTAAATAAGTTTGTTCAGTTGTCTGAACATTGCAAATTAGTTTCAAAACTACAAAAAATACAATATAAACAAAACATATTAAAAAAAAATAGAAACAGACTAAAAAAATGTAACATAACCACCTGTCAGATTTGTAACAAAATACACAGATCATACCAAGTCTGGTATGGCGTGTAAAATAAAAAATTGATATGACAGATAAATCAATTGAAGATGACGATATAGAAACCAATCTAATCACCACACGACTTATGAAAAACCAACTAATATTAATTGAAAATAAATTTCGATATTTATGTTTGTCACGACAATTTGTTGTTCTGTGACTGGAATAGCGTCCGTTTTGATTTTTGCAAAACTTCAACATTATTTACCGGAAATAAGCAGATGTCGTTGGCCGAGTTGCCCGATGTAGTAATAAACGTTGAGAATAATATTTTCTATGACCCGGTGCAATGGAAACAAATAACAAGGAAAATAATACGTTTTGGTTCATTTAAAGTTTTTATTAAGACAAATTGTATAAATTAGTTGTAAGTGGGTATTTACGTCAAATTCTTCCGTTGCCAATTATACAAAGGTAGAAAAGTTTCGTTGCATAGAGTATACGTATGGTAATGCATAATGCTCTAGGGATTACAGTGTCTGCACATAAGGGAATACTTACTACAGTAAGGAGATAATTTGGCACAACTCTTAACTCTCATTCCGCTCTACACGCTGCGTTTTATGTTCCACTTCATTTGCCAGAGTAAATTTCGACAACTTTCCAAAATTCATATTTGCAACCTTACCTTCTATTACTATCCAGATATTTAAAAATGATCAATTTCAGAAAAATCTTTTAAGTTGCAGTTGTTTGATTATTGATAATATCGTGACTTCCATAAAAAGATGTGAAAGTAGTGTTTGTGCTATGACTCAGAAGGAATGTGTCATTACTATTTAGGGTACCAAAAGTGGAAAGCACTTCATTCATCTGGTCAGGGCTATCAGTAATAATGTGTTCGGGTAACTGGCATTCAGATCTGAAAGTCAGTGAACATTATATTTATTATAAGAACTAGAGTGGAAATTTACCTGTTATTTAGTTGATTGTTTAAAGGCCTATTTGCAGACACATTCTGTGTTCCTAGGGGAGTTGGTTTTATTGAGTATATGAGAATTCCGGTAATTGACAGTGAATATGACAAAAAGTATAATGCGTGGGACTACAAAATGATTAAACATAGTCATAAACCTTTTAAAACACATTTCTTACCTTAAAGTTAAATAAAGGAATGCCTAAAAGTAAAGTGTAAAAATTTCCAGACAGTAAAGACAAGTGTAATGCAGTTGTCCCCATATTGACCAAAAACACGCTAGAAAATGTACAAAATATGAATTGGCAAGCCGAAAATGATGAAATTAGAGCACTGGAATTCTTCCATATTGAAGGTACTAGAGTCTGCCTTTCAAGCACAAACCTAAAAAAAGTTTTTGTTGAAAATTCCAACACTAGAATGCAAAATTACATTTGAGCCCCACTGACTAGACTGCCAATCAAACCCAAGAATCCTAAATATTCAATGATATCTGTACTTTTGACAGACAGTTCCTGTAACACAGTTACAATTGCAAACAAAACCGATCCTCCCAGGCAGAGCATATCTCCGACTAATTGGTTTTTGCCGTCGATTTTCGTATCTTCTATATTTGCCCAAACAAGGCAACCAACACCTATAAGACATACCGACACGGCAATAATGTGTACCATTCTATAACGCACTCCCAGTATCAGACAGCTTAGAGCCAACGCTACAGGAATTGCTACACATCCAAGCAACTAAAATACGTTTATGCTTACAGTTTTACCCTTAATAAAATAAATATGGCAAACCTGAATACTGGTAAGGGTGGTGTATTTGTGAGCAGTGCTCATAAGAGTATTGGCTTCTACATCTATTATACCAAGCAATAAATATCTCCAACCGCGCGCTTTAATAATGGAAAATAAGCCTTTATCTCCTCTTCGGAATGCAAGCCAGCTAGTGTAAATTGCGCACAAAAACAAATAATGTATGAAAGACTGTCCTGTGGGAAGTACCTCGCTTGATCCCATGCTCATGTAGTGCGCCAAAGTATTAATTGCACAGACTATAACCGATAAAAATTGTCCTAGTATAATATTTTGCCAAACGCGCCTAAAAGGATCAATAAAAGCCAAAAAATAGTCAACGAACGAGTACGAGAGATCACCATGTCCCTAATTCATGTATGCTGCCGGTTTTTGTGCACATGTCAGCATTCTGAGCCCTGCCGCTCATGTTCTTAAATCGTTCATTAATTTTTTTGATATATTTTATCGGCGTAAACACAAGGGCGGGGCACCCTTCTCATTCAACCCTTGTGAACAATGACGATTAATAATTGCGCAAGCGTCGCTCACAAAAATAATATAATTTTACATATAATTATCATAAAAAGATCAACTTGTTTAATATGACGGAGGTGCAAAAATTTCAGGTTTCTAGTACCAATAAAAATAAATCCTTACACTCTTTTTTTAATTAATTTTAAAATCGCCGCCGATGATTGAAATTTCAGAGATAGCAAATAGGTAGTTGGTAAATTTGGAAGGCACCGTGTTTACTTAAGTCGTAATAATTGTATTTATATTTTCATTTAACACATGATCTACAAAATCTTATTTTGAAAAGTGGAACACACTGAAGTTATCCAAAAGGTCATGTAAGCTTGCACTTTGTTATTACGAATTAGAATATGGACCAAGAGATTATCATTTTTGCAAATGTATAACCATACCAATTTTGATCTATGGGTATTTATCATGGAAAAGAGATATAGTGGCTATTTGTGATTAATAAAAAAAATACTCTAAATAATATACGTACCCAAATATTTGTAGCAAAAATTGTGATAATATAATGTTATAAGATGGTAGAACCCATATTTGACTATCAATTTCGTTTGATTTTAATAGGTGACAGTACTGTGGGAAAAAGTTCTTTGCTAAAATATTTTACCGATGGAAAATTTGCGGAGGTAATTGTTTAAAAGTAATTAAAACCCTCGTAAAGTCGTAATTTTGTAGTTGTCTGATCCAACAGTCGGCGTTGATTTTTTTGCTCGACTAATTGACGTGAAAAATGGAACTCGAATAAAATTACAACTATGGGACACTGCAGGTCAAGAAAGGTTTCGCTCTATAACGAAGTCATACTATCGGAATTCAGTCGGAGCGTTATTAGTTTACGACATTTGTAACAGGTCTAGTTTTGAACATATTCCTCAATGGATGAGTGAAGCTCGTCGCCACATAGAGCCCCATCGTCCAGTGTTTGCATTAGTTGGGTGCAAAGCTGATCTCCTCAATAACAGTGGTCACCGCGAAGTATCGCGGGAAGAAGCCAAAGCCTTCGCCGATCAACATGGAATTTATCATGTGGAAACTTCAGCCAAAAGTGGCTTGAATGTTGAAGAAGCTTTTCGATCTGTGACGCAAGAGGTTTACAACAGAATTCAAACTGGGGAGTACAAAGTGGAGGATGGATGGGACGGTATAAAGACTGGTTTTTCACGGCCCAATGGTTTGGACTTTAATTTGATTGAAGCAGAGCCTGCAAAATCATCCTGTTGTTGAACACTATAGTCATTAAGGTTTGGATAATTCACTATATTTTCACTAAAGTAGGTATGTTATTTATGTACGGTATAAGCGCTCCGATGTACATTTTATGCTTCAAATGTAGGAATGAGCCAATTTAGATTTTATTATTATTATTTTTTTTGACTAAAGCATCTTTTAAATTTTTAATTCTGTTCCTGTGACTAAAAGTGAGTTCCTTTATTGAAAGGTTGGCATTTTGTTCACATATAACTTTTGTTGCGCCTATAAAATTTTTGGCGCATTTTACTGAATAGTTATTTATTTGGTATTGACCAGGGACTATTCTATAACTGAACTTGTGCTCAAAATTAGTAAGGGCCAACGAAAACCAATTTTAAATATATATAATGTTTTTTGGATGCAGGCGCGACAAAAATATTTAAAAAAAAGTAAGTTATTTACTAGCCCTTTGATTTTAGAAATTGAAAAATATGGTGTTAAGAGGTGTCCATTTTCCATGACAATTCGGTAAATAATTTAATTTACTGTACATTTTAATTTACAAAAAAACTATCTAGTCTTTGGAATGTTCATGTTAACGTTTGGGTCAGATTTACCCACATTTTTGTTGGTTTGTGTACATAATTCGGTATTGAAGTGTGGAGAATTATTAATTGCTTAAAAGTCTGTAGAAAGGGTATAACTAAATAAACCAAATTTGTTAGTAACTCGGTGCCCATTCATTTTTACCTTCCTCTGAGAAAATAATTTTGAAAGAAAATGCATACTCCGGTAACATTCACATATATTAAAATTTCAAAATATACAATTTAAATCATACCACAACATATCGCAATATATCTGTACCGCGCTTATCTCAATACATTTTATTACTTGGGAAAAGAGTATACGCATGGAACGGCGGGCTCGTAATCGGTGTTGTACATTTGGGCCCTCACAAACGCTTCCTTATCTTCCGGTTCCGGAAATACCGACGCGTTTCCTGTAAAAGTAAACGCTCAGTCACGAATAACTAGCGACAAGCCACTAAGCGTTATATACCCTTGCAGTAGGCGTAGTTCAAAAGTTTCACGGCAATCTTCACCGAACACTCAGTTATTTTCGACAGATGCGGGTAAATGCGTCCCTTGTCGAGATCTTCATCGGTCACTAAATCTGCCAACGCTTCGGCCGCCATCAGGAAATGGTCCTCGCCGACGTTCCTAATCCCCGCGCAAATAATACCCAACGCGACTCCGGGGAATATGTACGAATTGTTTCCCTGGCCCGGGTGGAAAGTTTTTCCATTGATTGTGACCGGGTCGAAGGGGCTGCCGCTGGCAAACACGCAGGTTCCCTGCAACGAGTTTCGTGAGCAGATTTAACAATCTTCCTAAAGGTTCGTGGGAAAATATGCGACGCCTTCTGGCGGATAGTAGAACTTAAAAAATATAACCGACACTTTCTATATTGCCTATTGGCGATTTTACGATTCAATGCGACCCCTGGCAGTAAAAAAATTTTGGAGATTCATGTTTGCGTTGCACGGTTTACATTGCTTTAAAAAATAGTTTTGGATACTAGTAGTTAGTTAGTTTCATGTATTATATTGCTAAAACTGCTAACAATATTCCTGTAGGGGAAAATATGCGACGCCTTCATTTTCAAAAAATTCACTTATTATTTTCTGATAGTAGTCTAATGTTTTTTTTTGCCTTTCCTCGAGCCACAGTATAAAATGAATTTACATTGATATTTCTTTAAAAAATAGTTATCAGTGTTCAACATTAAAGGAAAAGCTCTACAAACTACTCTGCTGATATGTCACTCCAGAAATATTAAATAAATATTAGAAAATGCTTTATAAGGGCCAGGTTTAATAATAATAAAAACTAACATATAAAATATAGAAATAGGGGTCGCTCAACAGCAGAATTCCTACATTTGTAAAAAAAAATGTATGGACCAAATCCTCGTGAAACGAACTAACCAAAACCAACCAAACCCTCGTGAAACGAACTTTTGACATTAACCAAAACTTCCGAGTGACCAACAATAAACCTGATCAGTTAAAATGCAATGATTTAATTGCGTTTCACATAAAATTTTCAATAGACAGATATTTAAAAAACAATGGTTTTAGAGTTGGTTGTATACAATGGTTGAATACTTAATTGTCAGGATCGCAGCATTCTATGGGGCTGGACGGTAAATATCTAAAACCACCAGAATCGATCTGCTTTTAGAACGCGTTATATTTAAAAAATAGATACCCATTTCCTCAAATGACTATTTAATTGCGACATCCAGACGACAGGTCAAATGGCTATTAATTTATCCACGCAGAAATAATAAACAGGACAGCGCTCTCTGGTCATTTTATTGGTACTTCAACGCTTGGAAACGATATGAAGAAAAGCGTTGTTTATAAAATTAAAAAAATACCAATTTGATATCGGGAAATAACCAAAAATACTGAACTAATATAAAAAAACGTATTTTTCTATATTTTAAGTTTTTTTGTCACCACCTCCTCATAATTAGTTGTTTTTTTCCGAAATATTGTCAAATTTATTTTTCATGAAATTTTTGATTGTATTGAAATCGTCATTTCGACCAACTGTGAGATCACTCAAAAAAGAAAATTCTTAATCAAATTTTACAGATGGTGGATTTTTAACAGTCAGATTTTAAATATGTCATGTTGCGTAAAAATTGACTTAAGACTTTTTGATCAGGAACATCTACCGCTGACCCATCCTGTATAAAATAATAACACTTACATTGGTCGCTTTGTACGCCTGTTCGGCAGTGCACTCCGCCTTGGACGTAGGATTGCTCAACGCGAAGATGACCGGCTGCGCGTTGTTTTTGCCCATCTCGCGCAGAATTTCTTCCGTAAAAGCCCCGCCCACCGCGGCCGCTCCAATCAACATCGACGGCTTCACAGTCTTCACGACTTCGGCCAATGACTTCATGGGCGCGTGGTTCTGCGCGTAGACGGCCTTGTGGCCCGTGATCCCGCCCTCCGGTCTATCTTTGACGATCAGTCCTTTGGAATCGACCATCCAGATCTTCTTTCTCGCTTCTTCCGCCGACGTACCTGCGGAATCGGATTCATTGCGTTTGTAAATTTTTCCAACAAATCTACATTCAAAAGATTTGGTTATAGGTTAGGTTTACCTTCTTCCTCCATAGCCATCACGCACAGTTCGGCAATACCGAGATTGGCCTCGCCTGCACCTTGAAACAGGATTACGTTGTCGCTCAGTCGTTTTTTCGTTATCTTGAGGGAGGCGAGTAGACCTGCTACCGCCACCCCCGCGGTACCCTGTATATCGTCGTTAAACGTGCAGTATAGGTTCCTGTATTTTTCCAGGAAATGGAAAGCGTTCGTGTTGCCGAAATCCTCGAATTGTATGAGACAGTTTTGACCGAATCGTCTCACGACCGCGTCCATAAACTCGTCCATCAGCTCTTCAAACTCCGCCCCTCTCAGTCTTTTTTGTCTCAAACCGATGTACAACGGGTCCTTGAGGAACTCTTCCTTATTGGTGCCGACATCGATGGTGATCGGCAAACACTGATGCGGCTTGATTCCCGCCAAGGCCGTGTACAGCGCCAGTTTACCTATAGGGATGCCCATGCCGCAGGCCCCCAGATCACCCAGACCCAGTATACGTTCGCCGTCTGTTACCACTATCGCGCGGACATCAGTTTCCGGCCTTGAATGAAATTTAATAAACTTTTAACTATGGCCGACGAAGCTTTTCATTTCTTTCTAGGTTAGGTTTGTCAAGAAGAAGAAGAACACTCAGAGGATCTCCAAAAATTATAATAGTCTAATCGTTTATAAATTGAAGTAAAAAATATTTGCGGAAATCTTTTAAAATTGATCGCCACCGTTCAAAAAGAGATTTGTCGCATGTTCAAACAAAAACGGCTCGAGCCTGCCAGGAAAAGGAAAATATATGGAAATGCCGTAAGTTTAAGCCAACGAAGCAAATATAAAGTAAACTAAAATAAGTGTTTCTATTTAAGCAGTTTTAGTTTGCAAGAAACGTCAATGTATTAAAAGTTTAGTTGTAAATTGTAAAATTTCCCTAACATTTTGAAAAAGCGGCAACACCTCCTTATCCGTGATTGATTGCAATTATCTATTATCAATCATCCGGCAAATCGGTTGTTTATTTGGAAAGAAAAAAAAACAACTTGGAGCATTGATTGTAAATTTTACAATTTTATCAAAAACCAAACAAGATATTTATCGTGGACGTTATTTCGGGACTCACCAATTTTTTAGGATATCGTAGATGTGTCCCTTGTCGTGGATGGTAATGAAGAGACCCCTGGGTCTGCGGAAAACTAGGCCGAATTTTTGACAGGCCAATCCGACAACTGGCGTGTAAACGATCGGCATTATTTCCTGAATATATTCCCTAGCTAGCCTGTAGAATAACTTTTCGTTCCTTTCCTATATAAATAAAGAATCTTAATAATTTTAGTCAAAACCTATTAATTAAAAAATATATTTTTGTTATAGTATGCGCCTGTATAAAAATTAATATTTTTAATTGCTATGACTGCTAGCTAAGATTCGTACACTAGGTATAATTTGGGTTAGGTTTTGTTTTCTAAAAAATCTTTAGTATAATATTTTACCTGTGGTATGCTGAGCTTAAAATATTAACCCAAATGTACTTTCTGATATTTTCGTGTCATTTTAGTTTAAAAATGGTTCTTCCGAGAACCAGAATTTGTTTTTAAATATACAATTTCGATAAATAAAATTATGTTTTCTTTTGCTAATACGTCAATAAGTGCCTATTCACAAATATTTTTAAAGAAAGAGTATGTTATTTGTATATAAATTATTTTGAAATTAAAGAATTTTCCTTCCGCCAGTAGCTTAAAATTTGAGGAGCCAGAAACGTTTATTTGGCAAAATTTATTAGGCGGTACAGTATCTACGCTTTTCGAAAAGTATGAAGAACACATCAAATAGTTTTGGTAAGTTTAGCAAAAATAATTAAAAATAATTTTTCATTTTTAAAATCAGTTAAATATTTCGAATTATGAATGAATTAGCCTGTGGAAAGAAAGAAAAGTAAAATTGAACGATTTTAAGCAAAGTCTATTGGAAACTTTCTAGAGAATTGTATAGTTAAATTTCTAAAGCAACGACAAAAATTAATGTCTGGTGGCCGCATAATTGTATTATAGTTAATCTATTACTTATACATTTTGTAAGCATGTGGAAAAGATCATGAAAGCGGTCAATGAATTAAACGAACAAGTTGAGTCAACGTGTTTGTTTTACCACTTTGCATGTTTAATTAAATTTTCAGAATACAATTACTAATGCGGAGTTCAAAGTTCGTCATTATCTGTATCCTGCTAAAGGACGACGAACGTATTGTTGAAACTGCATGAACAGCAATATAACAGTATGTAATAAAAAATATTCTTTTTAAAAAATCTTAAAAAAAATTGATAAGCATTTTACATACAAGAAGACCCATCAAGTACAAGTACTTGTTGAGATCGTCGTCTAGCCTGTCCAGACATTGTTTACAGTGGAAAATTTGCTCTTCCTGCGTTTTGACAACGGGAGGCAGGAATCCGTGGATGCCTAGCGCTTGCCTCTCTTCGATCGAAAACGCCAAACCCTGAAACAGATTTTTCCTATGATGTTTCATCATGAATACTTCATTGAAATAAAAAGAACTATTGTTTGATGAACGCAACCATGCTAAGATGCTTATTTTGCGCATCAAAAAATGACAGTTGAGTATTCGTCCTAATATTTTTTTAATAGACAAAATCTTACGTTTGAAAATTTTTCAAATCTGCCCTATACCTTAAGGCATAAATCTTTGAGAATCATTTGTGTTGTCACAGTTTGTTTATTTATAAAAATTTTCTACGCTGGATCGACAGAGAACCAATAATATCAATATCTAATATAATATCAATATACAATATACAATAACATCATTATCTAATAAAAACTTATTTATTTTAAGAAAAACTTAGTCCAGTTGTATGCTTTTTTTATTTGTTACTTTTTATTACTAATATAACTATTATTATACAGTATGTTCCAAAATTATTAAACCAAAGTTTTATGTCATATTTTACGTCGAAAATTAGACCTAGTTTCTTATATAAAAATATGTCTGGAAACCCTTATATTCCGAGATACAGGGTGTAGAAATTTTAAGAAAAACATTTTTTTTTCATAATTTTCCAACCAGACATTTTTTGAGGCAAAATATTTTTCACAAAAGTTACCAGCGGCATCCGAACCACATTTGTATGGAATATTTTCTAAGAAAAAAAAGATGCGCCACTGCTATTTGCTAAAATTATTTTTGAAATCCCCACCCAATTTGAAAGCAATTTGACTCTTAATTTTCCTGCGAACGATGTACCGTTTTCAAGTGAAGAAACGGCTTTAAACATAACCTAAAAATATTAAGCATTAAAAACGTTCCAAATTATTTTTTTCAAGTTTTTACTAAGGACCATGTGTAGTGTGATACCCTATATAGAACGTATTCTTATCTTTTATTTTCTACTGTACTTAAATATAAAATGCACTTTTTGTATATTACAGATTCAATGTCAAATTGACAAGAAACATTTAATAATTCCTTCGAAATGGACGTGTCAAACCATCGAGTCTTTTTCGTTAATCACTTCTCGCTATTCACGTTGGAAATTTTCGCGACCCATGACCGAATGTTTTTTTTTGGTTGGGGTAGTCACGCCTGCGTGTATCCGCGAAAAACCCGCTAGTCATGGCGGATAGAAAGCCAACCGAAAGCAAATCGTCCGTTTGTTAAAAGGCAACCGGGGAACTTGCCCTTGATCGAACACTTCCTTTTCAGGAAACGACCTCTAAAACGTAATCTGTTACCGCGTGCAATAAATATTTGAAGGTCGCGTCTAATTGCTAATTTTGCGTTCAAATCGTTGTCGGCAAAAACAAACAGAAACAGAAACTTTAAATGTCGTTTGTACAGTGTGAACCAGGTTTTTCGCAGGAAACTCCCAACATTTTTTTATTCAATTGCCAAGTTTCCGAATGACAAGGTGGTAAAATTCTGAGGCTAAAATATTTTTTATCATAATTTTATTTTTACACTAGATTTTTCAATCTTTTTTTTTATTTCGTCGTTTAAGCATGGATTTGGATACATGCAATTTTTTTTTTCAAATAATGGTGCGCTACGGATTTTTCTAAAAATAAAAATTATGTTCGAATTTTCATTCAATTTTGAGTGAATTCCACTAAAACATAGTTACTGTAAACAGATTAATTTATAAAAAAGCAAAAAACATATCAAATTTACCAAAACTTCAAATCTAATTGGATAACTGGCGAATAAAATAAGTTTATTATTGTTCTGGTTAGAATTGAACAAATTGAAACTTTCATGGGTTTGAAAACATTTTTTACAAGAATTAGACGAATGGCTGAAAGAATTAAGAAGATGGTGTACAGAAATCTTTCGTGTTGCAGTTTTCAAAGCTACCATGCCATTTGGATCGCCAACCTTCCGGGGGAGGGGACGTGAAGAGAAGAATAATTGATGTATTTATTTAAAATAACATTATTTTTGATATAATAATTCATATTGTCCGTTCGTGTTCTGTCTGAACACACTATTACAGTTTTGGCACGTGTAGGGTCATTATAGCACAAAAATACAGGCAAGGCTGCTTGCCCTTCCTGTAATGATAATTTGACATTTTTCGAGTTACCGAAATAATGGGTTCATATTTTAGAAATTTTTCAGATCTGTGTAATGGAATTACTTAAAAATCGAGATCCTTAGTTTGGCTAAAAGTTATGAAAACTCGCAATATGTAAATTTTTCAAGCCTCCGAAATTATTGATTTTTAAAATATATATGTTACAAAATTAAAACATATTATTTTATCACAATTTTCAGCAACGTTCTTAAAATTTATAATCGAAAATGTCATAACGGAAAAGTCCCTAATTATCCTTAAACAAAATACAACTTGTTGAAGTGCCTGTTTGAGGTGTGTGAAATGGACATGAACTTTGACCTGGATATATGTAGATTGTTTCATTAATAATAAATCGCTTCGTTCGCGAGATATTGAACAACAAAGGTACGAAATGTTGCCTGATGAACCTCACCATTCATAATCTGCTTGTCACAAAAGCGCTTGATGTTTAAAAAAACATCCAGCGTAAAAGGCGGATGAACCCTTACCTTATTCAAACCGGCGTTTTTTAATCTATCCAAACCGCTCTCTCTGCTGGGGATGACATTGTCACCGTTACCCCACTGTCCGAGTCTGTCTTTTTCCATTGCGGACGCTTTGGACGCGCTTCGCTGTCCAGTCGAAACGTTGTTGCTGGCAATCACAGAGCTGAAACCAACGACGAACGTCGGTGTTCGCTATTTGGTTTCGAATTGGTTATTGAAAACGAGAGGTGAGACACCCAGGAAAAACTTTTCCTGCGCGCGGCGTTGCCAAATTGGTGGCCGCGTTGATATTTTAGCCATAGATTTCGAAGTTTATGAATGAATATCCCTCCAAAACGTTGCTTAAGATGATCGCGCAAAAACCGTGACATTGACGTATATGGAGAGGGTACTGTACCTCCTGAGCCGATACTTCTGCTCCTCCTCTAGCAGCCTGCCCGCCAGCTTGTTCTGGTGCAGAAATTTGCGCAGCATGTCGAATTTAGGCCAAACCCGAAACCAAAATTGCAATCAAACCGATAATTTCAAACCCCGCGATGTTTACTTGACATCAACGTCAAATTCCTTCGGATGAAAAAAAAAGCCTAGGCTCACTATTGCGCCCGTGTTGTCGGCCTTTTTCCGTCGACAAAGATTTATGCGTCTGCCGTGCATAATTATGACTGAAGAATTGTAAGCATATAAGGAATTGTTTTGATTTTAAGGTTTTGTGATTGTTTCCCCAATAAAATTAAAAAAAAACTTTATACCCTCAAGAAAATGTTTAATTTGTATCTTCTCCACCGATGTTTCTACATTGCAGAAAAATATTTAAGACCTTAATTTAAAATTTAAATTAATTGCTCTATTTAATTTTTTATATGATTATTGTTTTTGCTTCGAGGTCTGCTACAAGTAGTCAGGTGTTAGAAATTTTGTTCCGATGGACTCGGCAAATGCGCACAACGCGGCAACCGTGTGCCGACTATCGCGATAATATTAATTTCCCGACGCCTGCGCTTCTCGCATTTTCGGCGGAATTACGAGGAACATCAGCTGACTGGGGGACGCCCGGCGTCTGCTATTGAATTTCGGAGACGTCTAGCGGTGGCCCTTCCCCTAGTTGCGAAGATTTTTTACCGCATTTTTATTTTATTTATTTCAGTTTGCTGTTGGCGAAGGGAAACCTTATAATTCAATGGAATTTCTTACGATTTTTGATGTATGTGTGTATTAAACTGCAGTAAAACTGGGCCTCAATTTACACAAGAATCTGTGATACACTTGTCTTTATTTTTCCTTTCCTTGTTATTGTTATTGTAATTCACGCAAGAGATTAGTTTATAAGAGCCTAAGTACAATACGAACATTAATAGGAATAGCAGAAAATATTCTAATAACTATATGACCTTGATATTACAGAAACAACTGCATACGTCTTGAAAGAAAGAAATTAATAGAAGAAATGACTAGATCTTAGATCTTTTAAGCTTTTATAGTTATATAATTAAATATCAAATGATATAGTGGTCTTATAAAATAATTTGTGCTAGTCACTTATCTATATCAAAACGTATTTTTTTCTCAACTTATCAAATTTATCAAAAATCGTTTGCCCTGTTTCATATCGCAATAGTAAATACTTTAAAAATAAAAATAAACAAAACTTATTATTAGGAGAACGCAATAAGCCGCAGAGATTAGTTTATGGTGAAAAATCGGAAACATTCGAACACTCCCATTGCATACATTGTACTTATAGTTCAAAAATTATGTGTGCAGATACAAAGCACGTTTCTATTTTCTGTTCACTCTGATATATTTTTTTATAAGTTCATCATAAGAAATAGCTTCATTAAATTCAAAATATGGACAGCTTGTCAAGAACGTTAAAGTTTTTTTTGAATGCATATAAATATGATGAATTTCATACTCTATTCCATAATTTTCATTAGGTTAGGTACAGGGTGATCCGTTTATTGTGGATCAATTAAAAGTATACTGGACACTATCTATAATGTTCTATACATAATTCCAGGGTTTTAAAATATGGCAAAACATATAAATTTTCATTTTTACTCTAAAGAAAATGCATAACCTCTGCTAATGGTTATTGGTTTTAAAAGTATTACAGAAAATCGTTTAAGTGGGCCCTTTTCAATAAGGAGTCAAACGAGAACTAAGTAAATAAAGCGAAATATTGACATATTTGTTTGAGAGCCTGGTAGCATAAGTTGAACCGGAAAAATAGCTTCAATAAAATAATATTTCGATAATAATAATAAATCGTAATTTCTTTTCAATTTGTTGGGTTGCAATTTTTTGAAGGTTAATGTGTGCGTTATGTTTGTCCCTGCCGAAACATCTGCTCGAGCGATGATTCAATTATCTCGATTGTAGATACTTTTTTTGCGATCTGCTCAAGTTTGCTCTTGAAAATTGTGTCAAGTTTAAATAGAGGTTAAAAATCGACCTCAACGAATGTATCGAATGGGTCCGATAATTTCCAATTCCGAAACGAGCTCGTAACAGAACTTTTTTCCAATTTTTCCTCGCATAAATACACAGCGATAACCGCGGCATAGTGGCGGTTAAAATTAGAAAACCCATATGGTTCGTATCGGAGGCAACTTTGTTTGCCTTTGCAAAGACGATACTTAAAATACGTTTATTTTATCTGGGTTCCGTTGTGCCTGCACCATTATGTCGCAATTAAATAACTGCCGCTTAAAATAAATTACGTTTGATGCGCCATCGGGGCTTTAATGCACGCGTGCAAAATTTTTATCCGTCGAAATGGTTAGCGAATGACAAAAATACTCCACCATATTTGTCCTCTCAAGTAAAACTTCTTCAAAAACATGTCACATTGGAAGAAAAATGAATATATAAAAAAATAAAATAAATAAAATTGGTATTTACAGGTTCGAGGAGTGCGCATTCCTTTTCTCAGATTGCAAAAATGACACTTGACTGTACAACTATTTTAGACATTTTCTAATTTTAACGATACCTTAGCAGCTACAAAGCTCGGACCAAAATTAGTATTCAAGGGCCATTTTCCATGATATAAAGGTCTATTACAAATGTTGAATTGTATACTTTTTTCGGATCGGACAAGTTTTTTTATTAATTTTGACCAAATTATTCTTCATTTAATAGTAACCATACATATAGCTGTAGTAATATTTTCAAGATTTTCTTGATGTTGCAACTAATTATACTGAATATCTACAAATTTTATTCGAATATTTTTTATGTAAGAGGAAGAACATTTTGCAATTGTTATGAAGAAATTTTTTTTAATTTTGTAATAAGAGACGTTATTTGACGATTAATTCTGTAATTCCATAAGTAATACATTTTGATGCCGATTTCTCTGTTACGCAATTAGCGCTATCACGATCCCCCGTTCAACCTTCAAAACAACAACTATACTCGAAACTTACTTGTGTTTTTCCTCTAATCCTAGGGTACTCTTAAACAAACTATATACCGCGGTGCTCATGTTTTTAAAATTACGATCCTTACAGCTAATTAAACTATCACAGAACTTGAAATAATTGCGATAAATCGGAAGTTTCGTATTTATACGAAAACGAACGGTCATCTTTGCAGAAACTGATAAACACGTAGCATCGAATAAAATTTTCCTTATCGTTGTTTGGTCCAGCTGGTGGATAGTACGATCGTGAATTGTTTACAAAAATCGCTTCAGTTTGACCTATTATAAAATAGCAAAATTGCATTTTTCATAGTTCATATTTTTTTCCCTATTAAATGTTTAAATTATTTATTGCCCAATTTACAACGTTTTTCTAATTATTCCGGAGTATTAGTATCATTATAGCATCACGCTCTGGCGAAATGACCACCATTTATTCGGGACAGACATCGTTCGACGTAAGATTATAAACAAAAAAATTCCGAATGTAGGATCACGCATTATTCAACTGAATTGCCCACGGCCACAAGAAAATGCTAAACGTTTGGGAAACCTAAAAGCGGAACCACGCATTAACAGGCAGGAAACGTTGCTAATACCTAAACATAAACCTAAACCTATTGTGATAAACCAAAAAAATATTGTAAAATCTTGAAGGCGACTACGAGATGTGAAGTAGAACCATTTGTTTAAATACAACAATAAGTTAACCCTTCGGACAATAATAATAATATGATTTTATTAATCAGAAGTTAAAATAATTTAAAATTAATAAACAAAGATCTGGTGTTCTCTGCTGGCTCAGTCTAGCTCGGAGCTACTCTACTGAACCAGCAAGTACACTGTAGGTTAGGTACTAAATTTTTAGAAAATAATGGCAAGCATAGACTTTTAAAATATAATGTTAAGAAAGAATACTCACTAACTTAGGTTTAACGTAGGTAATTTAGGTTACATACAATTATTTATTTATCGAAGAAAGTGCTGTGTAGTTTGTTATATATAATAAAAATAATTTTTAAATTTAGATTTAAAATTTTTAACACTTAAGTATAATAAGTCAATAATATAATGTCATTATAAGAAAACGAACATTTGAACATTACGGCCAAATATCAATATTTTTCTGAGAGAATCAGCCGAATCTTTGTTGTTGATAATTTTATATAATAACTTGCAAAAATGGCGTTCACTTCTTCAATTCATGCTAAGCCATTGTAAGTGGTTGTATAGACGAGATGCATGATTATACTTTCTTAAGCCATAAGTCTTATATAGAAATTTTGGACTCTTTGTATTCTGTTTTTGCTTTCACAAAGTGTTCCTCAGTTTGAAATTTAAAATATGTCGGTAAAGCGTTTTTAGAGACAAAAAATTCTTTGGAATATAATTTTTTACTGTTGCTTTCTCCTAAGATTACGATCGATTAATATTATGTCTCATCAACCAAGCCAATTTTAGTATTGCCTATGAAGATTTCAACATTTCTCTTAAAAGAATCCAATTTCTTGCTCCCAAAAATTATAAAATAAGTTTTCTCAGGATTAAGTTTCAAACTGTGCTTTTTAGAAAGATCACTTAGTACTCGTCCTCATTCATAAATCTAATAGCCCCCAAGATATCTTCCATATCAAAAGAGTATTAGCGAATGCCTGTATTTTAAAATTGTTATTATGTTTTTTGTAATTTGCATTTAACTAACTAACTAAATTAAACAATATTAGTAATGGGAAAAAAAGCAAATGAACGCCAGTTTTACTAAGCTAGAGCTTTGAATTAGCGTTGAATCAGCTTTGAATTGTTTAGAGACTAATTTAAACCACAAGTTAAATTCCTAGCAGAACTGATGTTTATCCAAAGGTGTAATCGTGAAGTGTATGTCACCAAGATTTTTCTAAGATAATCTTTATGCATCTAGCCAGGAATTAAACGACGATGATAAGAAAAGTTTACCCTCAAACAATGGAAAAACAATTAGAATCATTCCGAATTGGGTTCAGAAGATTTGTGCAATCCCAGTCTTGAAAATAATAAATAATAAAAAAAAATTTCATATTTATGGGATGGCCTAGGATTAAACAGAAAAACTTTTAAATAAAAATAGTACTTTTTTCCATAAACTTAATTCTTTACTTTTATAAAATATCAATTTTTCAAAAACCTTTTTTCTGTTTTAATGTAATTAGAAAAAAGTATTAATTCCAGAAGCGTCACAGAGGGTAATCTAATTGATAGCAAGGAGGAATCATTGTAGGCCACTACTTTTTATGTTTAATATTATTAGGCAATTAAAAATACATTTTTTCTTCCCTTCAAGTTTTTTCGTTACCTACTTTAGTGTATTTTAAATAGTTTAATCTAAAAGAAAAATTAAACATACAAATAACAGTAGCCATCAATTTTCCTATAAATATTATTTGGATTAACCTCTGTGGCGCTATTGGGATCTACATTTTTATTCTAATTGCGTCCGTGTCCCAAATTAGCCTGCTAAGTTTAATCAAAATAAAAAAAATGTGTTTGAATAATTAATTAAAAAAAACGATATTTTATAAAAACTTTGGGGTTAGGATATGTTTATCAGAAAAAAAAAATATTTTTACATGAAAAACCGATCTTAGAAATAACCCTGGTTATAAGTACTTACTATTTTTGAAACTGAGATCGCACAAATAATAATAATTATAATAAGAGATCCATTTGTATAGTCAGGAAATAGGTAAAGAAATAAAATATTTAGAATAATTTAAGAAATTGGGGGCTTCTAAATTTGAATTTTCTATTAACCTCGGTCGAGAACCAGAACCAAAAGTCGGCGATAATCGATAAGAATAAACTTACCGTTTCTGTTGAATCATGCGTCCAATTTCGTCAAACTGTTCCGAACAAAATTTCGTGACGCTGGCCGTACTCCCCATGGCCTTTGTTTGATCGAAACCACCACGAAAAGCGCTCACGTTTCCTCGACAAAATATGAAAATTATCAGAGCACAACTAAATGCGGGTTCTTCATGAAAATTGTACGGCTACGCGGTAGATAGACGATTAATAGAAAAATCGTAAAATTGTATGGCAATAAGAAAGGTTGAGGCATCGTCGCCGAATGTCCAATAAAACATTTTATATTACGTTCCGTATTCAATCGATATTCATTTTCAGAACTGGCACCAGGAAATATCGATACCAAATTAACTGTTTTAATTATGGATAATGTATTTTTTCGTGTGTTATGGTAGTTACGGCGGTTCCTATGACGACAGTCGGCGTTGAAATTTCCTAAGTAGGTTATAAAATATTCCTCATTGTTATGCCCTGTCGCTAGAATCAAAGGAAAATGACTTGTAGTTTCCGCCACTGAAATTATATTTATACAAGTACCCAATTTAAAATTAATCCCCTCCACTCTGCAGAAAACTATATTATGCAACAAGTGCGGTAAAATCCCGGAAATGTTCGAAGTGACTCGGATCCGTAGGAAACAAAACTGACGTGGTAAAGTGACGCTTCCCGCACGCTAGATCGATGTATAATTAGGTATTTTACAGACGGGAGTAGAAAATTAGTATATCATGCAACAAGTGCGGTAAACGACACTTGACTCACGAGTTTATTTGGCACGAGCGGAGCGCAGCAAGGCGAGTGCTTAATAAGCGAGTGAGATAAAGAGTTTAGCAAACGTGTTGCATATTATACTTTTTCTACGACGGTCATGAAAAAAATCACAATTTAACAAATTAAAAATAAGAACAGATTATCGGATTACCAAATTTCGTACCATTCAAATACAATATTTACCAACTAACTGTTTTATATTGCATGCTACCCAGCTTTATAGGGGTACAAATGGCTCCAGCTCAAGATAAATTGCAAGTAAGCACAGTTAAATAAAATGCCTACAGAATTTTTATTTTTTTTTTTTCGCATCTCCCTATAATTCGTAATTGGTATCCAATAATTCATATCCAGTTGTTTTATAAACAGTACATGTACAGGCTTGCCTGAATTTGTCAAAAATATCAAAAAACTGAAATGCAAACGCTGTTTGTATTCACTTATACTTATTATATATACAGGGTGTTTCGTGGACTACCAGCGACTCTCTTATTTTCAATAGGACACCCTATATCCTAAAAAGTTTTGCTTACTCTGGAAAATTTTAGACATTTCACATATATCATACCGAAGTCTCACCGTTTCTGACAGGTTTTGAATTTTGTATCAAAACTGGCGTTTGCAAGCACTATTGAAAAGCAATGTTTGACACCTCACTTCTTATTGATATGATTATTTTAATAAACAAAATAATTCTGTGGTTCTAAAAGAAATATACAATTGTTAAAGTGCAAATAGCAAATTAAACGTATTCAAAAAACAGTTTATAAAATGTAACATTAAGAAAAAAATATATAATGTTTGTTATAACAGTCCTAAAATTGAAGAGTGTTTCTTGTAAGTTCTTGTCCATGTAGATATTTTTCAGCAAATATCAATATGCAAATAACTAAGCATCATTTATAAAATTCATTAAAAATTGTCAAACTTAAGTGCTCGATCTTTTTCTGCCATGTTTCGCCTTTATCTTTCTGGTCAATTAGTAGCTATTTTTAAATGGTAAACCTTATATAAAGTCACCATTTTGGTCAATGCGAAATATGGTAAAAATATAAAAATAGGTTGTGTTAATTTGAAAAAACTTTTACTTTTACTTATTAATTTCTTCATAAAAAATTTGAATGTTAGTTTTTCGCCATCCTGCTCTATTTATATTTTTAAAATATCAACATATACTATTAAAGCTTACCTCCTCTTATAATCAAATCAGCCAGAAATAGATAACGTAGTCTTAGAGTCACAAAAATCGATAAACATAATTAGACCCGAAAACGTCAATTTTGACATAAAATTTGAAAATATGTCAACAACGATAAGAATTAGGTTTAGGTTGAATTAATATATACGGTTTTCTATTTGTAATAAGAAAATTATTACTGAAGACGAAAACACCCCGGCATTTTCTTCGAAATCTTTTTATATTCTGTGATAAGAAATCATCTCATAATGTACATGTGGAAAATATTTTGTATATTGAAAAAAAGAGACGGAAAACTTTGCTGCTATAGTCTAAGTAAACTGCACCATTGTTTACTTTTCAGTTATTGGTATGGGTCCGTGTGTGTAACTACTTATAAATGTCCAACAATAACCAATCATTAGAAGTTTCGCTGTTTCGTTGGATATCAACATTTTATATAAATATTTATTTTTGAAATAAAGGGGGATTAATTTACTTTAATAAGTACCATCCGATCTTTTCTCTGTCAACATTCTGCATAAAGGAACTTGAAAAGGTTCTTTGTTCTTGCGCATTCGCCTAATATTTGCAAGTAACGTTCTTTCGAGTTTGCGTGACAGATAGAGGTTAGGTTATTTTTTTGGCTTTATGATAATTTTGTCTATAATGATTGTCTGGGTTAAATAATAACTCCAAAAATTACAAAATTGCAAAACCTTTATTGCTGCGTTCGTGCGAAACTATAAAAAAATATGTCAGTAAATGCTAACACGATGAAATTAAACGTTACAAGCACGGGTATATATTAAAATTAGTACTTAAACGAAAATTATACTCCCAAACGGCCTTAAAACGAACCACGAATTTACGTTTTGGTTCAGTACTCGTCCCCCTCGTCGGCTTCCCCCTCGATCGAATCGACAGCGACCTAGAAAAAATGTATATAAACCAAAATAGCAAAAAAAATCCCCCCTCCCGTGACTCACTTCTTCGTAATCCTTCTCCAAGGCGGCTAAATCTTCACGCGCTTCGGAAAATTCCCCTTCCTCCATACCCTCGCCGACGTACCAATGGACGAAAGCGCGCTTGGCGTACATCAGATCGAACTTGTGGTCCAACCGGGCCCAAGCTTCGGCTATGGCAGTCGTGTTGGACAGCATGCAGACTGCCCGCTGTACCTTGGCCAAGTCGCCACCTAGAAAAAAGAAGAAGAATTTCCGTTGACGGTTTGCGGGAGTCGTACGCGTTGAAAATAGTTACCAGGAACTACGGTGGGCGGTTGATAATTGATGCCGACTTTAAAACCGGTGGGGCACCAGTCTACAAATTGGATACTACGTTTGGTTTTGATCGTCGCGATCGCTGCATTGACGTCTTTAGGCACGACGTCTCCTCTGCAACGAAAAATTAACTATAAAAGAGAATTAAGTAAAAGCAAAAAGTTAAATAATAATAATAAGTAAGGCTCCGTTCCGGTCGTCTATTTTGAGGATGTTATTTGCGATAAGTGCTCTGGGGAGTCTATACTTTCATGTTTCACTCGGAATATTAAATATCGGCATGTCTCCTAAACGTTTTTTTTTTGTTTTGGTTAGTGTCAAACAAAACAAATTTACGTTATTTCTACAATTTTAGTTATTTGCCAGGGTCTGATTAAGTCAAAACTGATAAAGGTGAGTTAGGTGGGGAGAAGATGAAACATGGATTTAAAATTCGATAGCAGCATGTTGTAAAGAAAAAAAAATGCTAGGACAAACTATAGTATATCAAAAAGAAATCTCAAATTCATATGGACTTGATATTTTACTTTTTTTACTGATGACGGAGAGTGACCCCTCTGTTTGAAACGTTCCGAAATATTAATCCAAATAAAAACAATTCAAATTCCAAGTTCTTTTAGTTTTAACCAATTTAAATTGAGCACCATTTTCTCTTAGAGTTACTGATTTTAAAATAGAGTAAAATAAAACCACCTGTGTATACAACCTATGTAACAGCCAAAAACCTAACGAAAATTTGAATAATTTAAAAACAATGCTTTATTGGAAATTTTTTCATTGCAGACTTAAACTTTCTAAACCATAATCGGGAAACATCATACCGGGTGTTCCTTAATGGAGTCGTGGCAGTACTATTTACAAATCTTTTGGATTCCTTCTGCGTCGATTTTTTATAAATCAAATTTGCTGACGTTTCACCAATGATCCTGTTGACTTCTTCAGAGCTTAAGTGAAGCTCTGAAGAAGCGAAAAGAATGATTTGCGAAATGACAACTGACGCAGGAGGAACTTTTGAAATACAAAATGGTATAGTTTTTAGGAAAACTCTTTTGTTTATAATATTCAAAAGAAAAGATTCTTTGAGAGATGTATTTGAAATTTGCATTCTGCTAAAATGGACTCTTTAGTTTCGACACCAAAGCATACATTTTTTGAAAATTTAACTGCGGTGGCTTTTACTTGATGAAAATCCATTTATCAAAATAAATAAGAACTAAAATTTCAGAATTTCGCGAAATTATATATTTTCACACGACAATTGTTTTGACATCACCGTGTCTTTATCAAATATGACATTTGATAAAGACACGGTGTTGTCGAAACAATTGTCATGTCATAATATATAATTTCGTGAAAATCTGAACTTTTAGTTCTTATTTATTTTGATACATTTTTTGGACTATTTTTAGTTATCAGTAGGAATGGTAGGGATGTCTTCCTCCTATTATACGCATAGTCTCGCCGAGCTTAGAGAACATCTTTTGTTCTCAAGTATCTCCATTCACAAATGGCAGTCCGTATACTCCGACATAACCGCAGAAAATAATAAAACCAACCAAATAATGAGCTCACCTGTACAACATACAACAAGCCATGTATTTCCCGTGTCTGGGATCGCATTTCACCATCTGATTGGCGGGTTCAAAACAGGCGTTGGTGATTTCCGCCACCGTTAGTTGTTCGTGATACGCCTTCTCCGCCGAAATGACAGGGGCGTACGTCGCGAGTGGAAAGTGGATACGGGGATAAGGCACTAAGTTAGTTTGAAATTCCGTCAGGTCAACGTTTAAGGCACCGTCGAATCTAAGCGAAGCCGTTATGGAAGAAACGATCTGTCCGATGAGCCTGTTCAGGTTGGTGTAAGTAGGTCTCTCTATATCCAAGTTCCTTCTGCATATGTCGTAGATGGCTTCGTTGTCTACCATGAAGGCACAATCGGAATGCTCTAGTGTCGTGTGGGTGGTGAGAATGGAGTTGTACGGCTCTACTACTGCCGTCGATACCTAAATTGGTGGTAGTTGGTGTCTTTATCCGCGCGTTATTTTAAGGCAAAAGCTTACTTGAGGTGCAGGGTAGATTGAGAATTCTAATTTCGATTTTTTTCCGTAATCTACGCTGAGACGTTCCATCAGTAGGCTCGTAAAACCTGAGCCGGTACCGCCGCCGAAGGAATGAAACACCAGAAATCCCTAAAACCGGCAAATACCATCACGATTGTAAATCACAAATCGCCACAAATAAAATCAAATTTTTCTTGGCAGTATGGCGGCTGCGATTATATTGTTCCTTGATCTGAAGCTTATACTGTATTTACGTAAACTAAGAAAGTGGTGAAAATATCTTTTGTGTTTTGGTACAGCATGGAAAATCCTTACAATAAGAAGTATGATGTGGTCTAAAGTATGTCTCAAAGTATATCGTCTTGAATTATGACCTTAAAACCTATTGTTGCTGAATAAACCGAATAATCAATAATTTATTCATAGGCCAGCGGCAAGGTTGATGTCAACCACGTGTAGACTGATATCAGTGGCAGTGTTGAATAACCCATTTTAAAGTGCGTTTCGGAAAAGATTCTTACATGAATATTGCTAATTTTTCCGTTCCGTTCTTCTAAATATAATCCGGTAGAACATCGCCAAGTAAGATCAAACGTGACAGCAGAAAATCTTGATATTAGTTTAAGTTGGAGTATAATAAATTTAATAAAAAAGGTAATTAATACCACAGCTACTGAGAGCTGCAAAAATGCTGTACAGTATATTTTAAAAATTCCATAAAAAACATTTGCATAAAAAATAAAATAGAGCTCATTCTAATTAACCTTAATAACCACTTTTTATATATTTATAGTGTATTTTCTATTAGTGCTAATGTTATTTTATTATACCCAAATGAAAATAATATACCTAATATTTAACCGTTATGTTCTTAAAACTCTTTAGAAGTCCATCGCTGATGGTCACGTTACCTCGATAATGGCTGTCAGAAAACCAAGACGACATACTTAGAGACAAAGTATACCCCACTCGGTGAACAGTGAGTCGTATTACATGGCAACTGTTAATAGCTGAGATGAGATTATAATTGTCAACTCTCTCCTTATTTGTTTTTATATTTATCCTTATATTAAGATTGATTATATTTGTTGTGCTTTTTTATATTGTATTGCTTGCTTGCTTACTAAAGCTTATTTATGTCTTTTTCTACTATCCGAAGTAAGGTGTACATAATTAAGGAAAATGGTTATGGTTATTTAGGTAAGTTTCTCAGGGAGACCCTTTGGATAAAGTCCCTCTGCGAACATCATTGAGGGAGCGCTCTTCAGTTGGAGACTCTCTTAAGTTAAGTATTTTATGCTTTTTTCCTGTTCTGTTTCGAACAGATTATTTGTAAATGATTAGGTTTAGGAACTAGATAGAGTTATCCAAACGATATACCGTTTTTACGATATAACTTGGTATTTATCTACCCTTAAAATACAACAGTCCGCACGGCACAGTTCTTGTCGGTTAACATCTTAAATACGTCCCTTGTTTGTGACACACGTGCTAAAAACAATGGTTCCTTCCGCTTCACTGCAGAAGTTTTAAACTCATTCCGAAGTCAAATCCATAAAATTGTAAAAACGGTATATCGTTTGGAGGTCTCAATACGGAAGATTATAGTCTATAGTCTTGTCGATGGTTACTGTTTGGTCCCAGTACAGGAGGCAGTCTTTGGATTTCGGGACCTCCAGAGGCTAGTACTTATAATGGAGACCGGAGTTTAAAGACCAACTGCCAGTGGACTATTATTATTTAGCATAAACAATAATTTATTGTAAGCGCTTCCTTTCTGTGTCGCAGCATTTGTGTCCGAGATATAATTTCACAGTCCCCTAAGAATGAACGCACGAAATATACAAATCTGACGTAGATTAATTGTGTCATTGTTTTCCGCGTCTTGGGTTGCTGCACATAGCGCATTAAATGACTATGTACGTGGGCCGTAACGCGGTCTTCCCAAACCCACTCGTTTAAATTGCTAATTCACCAAACAGAATGTTCACGGATGATAAAACAGCCCGAGCTACGGCACTGAGTACACGTAATGGCCGGTTTCGATGTTCTAATTATTTTTACTAGGTATTATATTACGTTTGATGATAGGTTCATTGTTCTTCAAGGAGATTTTTGCAATTATCCGAACTAGAATCAAGACAATCCTTCGCAGACACTACATGGGTAATTCCTTTATGTTTTGTTATTCATTTTATGCAGATACCCATTGTGCAACGTGTTTCGATTAAGTACTCAACTAATTTGCTTCAGAGTGGTTATTTTAATTATTTTAATTAAATATTACGCGGCGAAACGCAAAATCTACAAAGCGCCTAGCAGCAGATAATACTTGACATTTATTCTCGTATTTATCCATTTTCATTGACAAAAAATAATATATTCTCTGTATTTGCCTCGGAATACAAAATTTTGATCGAGACTATATAGCATAGAATGGAATGGAATGGAATGGAAATAGAAAATCATGTATTAACTTGATTGACACCATTATTAAATGATTTAATAATATAAGCCATCATTCTTACTTTTTAAGGTAGGGGTATCAACATAGTGAATTTTAATTCTTATACGATATATGATTTAAAAGCTATTCTAAAAGAAATGACATTAAAACACTCAAAGAATTTAAAAAGTAATTTAGCTCATGGTGATGCTGTTTTCATAAATGCTGGAATTTTTGGAATATCTACATTTTTGTGGTACAAAAGAAAGCCCAAGCAAAGTACTAAAAATAATAAAACGTAAACTGTTTCTCTAAACCTTATGGTCCTCTTAATATATCGTTGACTATATGAATAACTGTTGCAAGTGGGGAAAGGAGTTTCTCTATGCTAAAACCAATTAAGAATGTTTTGCGTTCTACGGCCATCTTCCTAACCGTTTAGCCAACTTGGAAATTGAGTATGAACTCGCTGAATCGATCAATAAAAAAAAAATGCAGAAATAAATGTTAGAACGAAAAATTTCGTTTGGGTATTTGCATGATAAAATATTTTGGTGATAGCATTTAAAATACATTTTTTACTCCCTTCTGTAAAATACCTAATTATACACCGATCTAGCGTGCGGGAAGCGTCACTTTACCACGCGAGTTTCTTGTCTCACGGATCCGAGCCCTTTCGGATATTTCCGCGATATTACGGCACGGGTTTGGCAGTAATCGGATGTTTTCGGAGATTTTACCGCTCGGCTTGGATTATGTTCATCAATTCTGACGGTCATATCAGTTTTGTAAAAATGTACCCAAAAACTAACGACCGTAGATACAATATAGTCCACAACACGTTTGGTAAACTTTTTAAGTCACTCGTTTATTAAACACTCGCTCCGCTCGTGCCTAATAAACTCGTGACTCAAATGCTGTTTGTCGCACTTGTTCCATAATATAGTATTTGTTAACATTTATATTCAATGGGATTAAATATACAGTGGGAATTATCACAGGCGTATTCCTTTTGTAAGTTCAAGCTTTGTAGAACCTCAATTAATTGCTTTTTGGTAGAATCTTCGTGAAAATAAATGTCGTTATTATGATGTACTTTTGGATTGTTGCTTTTGTGTCGCATGAGGAAGGGCTTTTAGTCAACTGTCTACTGTGATAACTTGCATTGTCCATTGAAATGACGCTATTAGGAGGAATGTTTGGAACTAGTTTGTTTTTAAACCAATTTTCAAATAAATCAGCGGTGGTGTCTTCATGGTAATCCAGAGAAGAATCTTTAATATTTTTCGCAGACAGAGAAAGTCCATTTGGAATCGAACCATCTTTAGAGCCAGCATGCAAAATAGTTACTCTTCTTTTACCTCTTTTTGATGGCGCATTTGTTTTACACTTATCAGTTGAGTTAACCTAACCCTTTTCCGGAGTATCATAAGTGTCGAACCAGGTTTCATCCAAGTAAACAATTGGAGTTTGTTGTTCTCTGCAAATCCTAAATCCTTCTAGATATTCCAGTCGCCATTTCCGAATTCTAAAAGATTCCATTAAAACTTGCCTTTTGTCAATTTTTTTAAATCTAAAACCCATGTGTTGAATACACTTCCATAAGCTAGTTCTGCCACATTTAACAACGGTTTCATCTTTTTCAAGTCTCCTAATTAAGATATCTAATGTAGGCACGCTTTGTTCCTCGTATAACTGGTAACTTTTACGCCGTATTATATCATGATCACTTTCATCTACAGTCGAGAAAATGTCAGCATCGCTTGTTTTTTTCCTCGCTGAAATGGGATTATTCACAATTTTCCATACAGTTGATGTTGGAATTTTCGTCAATGTTGCCGTTTCTTCCAAAGATGCTTGCTTGCTGGCACCACGTTCAATAAAAGAAACATTGTTTATAATTTCTTTAGTCTCAATAGAATAGTGTTTTCTACATTTGGGCGGGAGCATCTCCTGAGATACACTAGACTCGCACATATTTTGCATAATTAAATAAGATAAGATAAATAAATAAGAATGATTACTAATAAACTCAAACTAAGTAGTATACCAAACCAAAGAATATTAAACACAAGTAGTTATAAAATTATTTTCTATTACGGACCACAATTTTATCTGAATTGAAATTCCGAAACTTTAGGTAATAATCTCGTTGCATTGTATGTTAGTGACCACCCTTGGCTAATCCCATTCAAAAGCAATTGCTCACTTTCTTATATCTATGAACAGATTATACCAATTTTTTTAATTTTAAGTTTTTTGTTTTAATTGGCTATTTATTATGTTGCATACTTCAAAAATAATTAAACTATATGACTTTTATTTTATGGCGAACGCTGGACCAGGCGCTCCATTATCGTCGTTTAATTTTTCCGTTTTTGTTTACAGTCTTAAAATCATTCATAGAGAATTACATGACATCAGCAAGTCTATACACTCAATCTTGTAGGAAAAACCTGGAAATTTGTCAACAGCCCAGCACGGGTACAACAAAGATGGGCGTGAATCTTGTATTTTGGATTGCTTCATCCGAAAAAGATCTTGATAAAAGCCAGTGGCGCGCATTTAGTTTGTCAAAAACGTAAATTTGGGCGTTCGAAATTTAAATGTTTCCAGATCTATATTTTCGGCTTGATGCTTTGGATGGAAGTACCTGGAGTCCGGTGCATTGGTCCGCTAATTTTCTCATCCTGTCCAATACGACATCGACGATTTCTTTGCCGATGGTGTAATGACCTCGCGCATAATTGTTGGCCGCGTCTTCTTTTCCAGTGATTAGCTGTTCCGGGTGAAAGAGTTGCCGGTATGTCCCGGTTCGGACCTCATCTAAAAGTGGAAGAGAACGTTTTAAAACAATTACCTCGGCAACAGAAGGATGTGAGCGATTTGCCGCGGTGCTACCGGTTTCCTTCCAAGTAATCGATCGATCTGTCATTGACGTGTAATAGACTAACGAGAATGATCGTTTGCAAACGATCTAAATCGAAGATAGGATGAAATTCGTTTTACAAAACGTAGAAGAATAACGATTAAAGGAGGAAGCCGCGTTACTGGTGATTAAAATACGTGGAGAAGGAAGTTCAGTACTGAAACAAAATTCCAGAAATATTACAGCATTAATTATTTGATTTAAAAAAATCACTTATCTAAAATGTTTAGCAAAATTTAAAGTTTTGCAGTCCTAGTTACTTCAATTCGGTTTTTGCGTATTTACCTAACACGCGATCTTTGAAACGTTACAAGATTTCACATGATTTCGATGACTCTTTTACGAATTTGTAAAGCAATTCCAAAAAATAATAAACTTTTGCTAATTTAATGACATACATGTTCAACCGTTTGTAAAATAGTTTCACAAAAAAAAGTTATTTGAAAATTACATCACTTCGATGTATTTTATCGTTTCGATATAAAATTAATTACCTTTATTTGAAATATTTTATGTATTCAATATATGTTTTTTAAGTTCGCCATTCTTATGGCAATCATTCAAAAGCATTGAGAGTTTATTTGCCAAACGCGTTTTTTAAATAATAAATGTCACTTGTTATTCCGTGTAGCTCTTTTTTCATTTTTGAATAGTATCTGTAATTTGAAAGCAATTTTTTGAAATGAAACGTTCGAAATGTATAGTGTATGGCAAACATCTGCAACTTTTATTTCATATCAACAGCTCACTAGATAAGCACAACAACAAATATTGCGAAAATGCTAGTTTATGGAAACCTTTCAAAAAATGGTGGACGGGCTGAAATTTGTTAAATTTACATGCAGGGTGTTTTATAATTGATTTTAATAATTAATTTATTATAACAAAAACGTCTTATGAACATATTTCCTTAACGTCTTTTGAGATACAAGGCAAAATTTTCAAAAATAAAATATATTTTTTTAATATCTGTAACATATCTTTAGATATTTTACTGAAATTTGGCCCACATGTACTATGTATCAAGAGGCAATATTTAGTGCACTACAATTATTTTAAAATACGCCAGTGGTTTTGGTAGACATGGATAGTAGGCCCCCGATTTCTCTTAAAATAATTCCAATCATTTCTAAAGAAATTTAATTTATAGAATTTTCTCAATCCGATGTACGGTTTTCGCTAAAAAAATTAAAACCTCTTCTCTGCAACGGTAATGGTTAATATTTAAGTAATAGTCTATCTTTTTTATTAAAATATTTTTAAAAAATCACAGTACCAATACGAAGTACGTAATAAATAAAATAAATTTAAATAATGCTATTTTCATAGAACTGTAAAAATAAAAAAAAACTATGTTCTAATTTTTTTTCTGAGGGACACTAATTGGTAATTAAAAACTAGATATTTTGTTTTAGATAGATATTTTATTTTTCGCAAAAAAAGTCTCGATTTAACCAGTCGAGTGCCGACCTAATTGACCAAAATAATTATTTATTCATAGACAGTCAGCGGCACGCCACTATTTCCTTTAAAAAAATAATGACATTTGCATTCATTTAACAGCAAACTTCATCTCTTAATTTTAATTTCTCTGCATGCTGTCATATCAACGATATTGTTCTGACCATGCAGAGAAGAGGTGTTTATTTTTTCAAGCGAAAACCATACATCCGGATTGAAAAAAAAATCAAGGAATTAAATTTCTTTAGAACTGGTTGGAGATTTTAACAATACACATCAATATCTACCCCTGGTGTATTTAAAAAAAAAAGTGGTACAATAAATAATGCCTCTTGATATATAGTATGTGTGCCAAATTTCATTAAAATATATGAAATGATATTGCAGATATTAAAAAATATATATTTTATTTTTGAAAACTTTACCACCCTTCATCTCAAAAGTTAAGAAGTTTAGGACGTACGTTTATATGACGTTTTATTTTAAAAAAGTCAATCAAAACCACCCCCAGGAACATTTTCGTATTGCAGGGGTTTTATGTAACACCGTGTACAATTAAAAACATTTGCATAGTGTTTAATTTTATGCAACATCTTTTAAAACATTTTTTCGAAGCACTGAAATAAAGGAGATATATTACTTTGTCACTCTTTAAAGATCTGAAGTCTTAAACTGGAAAATTAGAAAACGCTGTATAATGAAAATAAGTTTTGCGACAACTGAAACCGCGATCTAAAAATTTATTATAATCATACGCAGAATAGGTCCGGTGATGATTCCGGCGATGGACAGGGGCCTCGCCCTCCCAAAACTATCATTTAATTACGGGAAGTGTGCGCGGATGTCCGTGCAATCCGATACTTCCCCTTCGAAGACAAAAGGGGTGTGTCGGGTTTCCTGTGTCACGCAAAAGTGCCTCCACGATCATTTATTGTCGCCACATTAATAGTTTTAAATTTACATTAAAATATTACAATGTTATAATAACCCCATTCGTATATTTAACGATGCATTTTTTGGCAAGTTCCTCCGTAGTCGAATCTTTAAAACTCTCAGCGGTAACCGTTTCAGCCTTCACACCTTTCGATTACACAACGAGTTTCAAATCAGTGGTTTCGATCTTGTTTACAGAAAACTGATCAGACCGTGGTGGATGCAGAAAGGCGTAAATACCATCAATTACAGTTTCACTTCATCGGTTCACAGTAATTGGAGCGCTTATTACAACCGGACGTTTTTAAATACACAAAAAAATATTAACTCAAGCAAAGGAGCACAATGTAAGCTATGCGATTTAACTTTTTAACAATTAAAATTAAAAAAAAAGGTTTTCAATGCTTCTTCAATGACTAAGAATGGATCGCAGAATTTGATTGCACTCCACAACTTGATAGTAGTTCATTTTATTATTGAAGACTAACACGTATTTAAAGAAACTTACGTTTAGATCAGATATCCATGCCTTGACTATGAGATTTGGAAGTCCTCCGAAATCTAAAGCCGTTTCCTTTTTGAAGTAAATATAATATAATATCTGCTCAACCTATAATAATATTCCGGCACTTATACGGCCGCCAGTCCTAATGACTGTCCTAACAAATATAAAGAGAAAGAACTAACCAAAACCAAAGAAAAAAGTAAGTATATAAACAGCGTTATTGACAGTGTATGTTAGGATGGTAATAACAGTAATTCTAGCTTTAGAATTACGTAGAAAGGGGCATTTTATGATATGTACGTTCAAAACTGGCGGCCGTATAAGTGCCGTATAGGTGCCGGACAAGACCGTGTCTTTATCAAATGTCGTGTTGTCGAAACAATTGTCATGTCATAATATATAATTTCGTGAAAATCTGAGCTTTTAGTTCTTATTTATTTTGATAAATGGATTTTCATCAAGTAAAAGCCACTTCACTTCAATTAATAAACGATTATTTATTTATTTATATTGCCAACATTTGTTTTATATTCACGATTATTGAAAGCTCATTTCATATTACTGCAAATATACTTATTATTACTATTATGATTATTACAAGATTATGGCAGCCAAAAATTTTCAATATCAGTAAATATATGCTGGGAATGCAACTGATGTTATTCCCAGAGCGTAAACGCTAATCATAATAACGAAGGAGGATAAGGGGAGATATAGAAAGAAATCCAAATTCAATATTATATTGTAAGGAACAAATATGATAACATTGGAAAACTTCTAACCAGGCAAGTGAATCTAACCTTTAAAGGCTGTCATGTGAATGCATTATTACGATATATATTGCTGTAATATTTATTTTTCAACACTATTTATTCTACATAGTCAAAATAAATATAAAAAATCTAACTCTAATACCAATCGATCAAATTTAAGCAAATACATAATTAAAATCCAGTATCCAGTATTATCTTGCCATTTGCAATAATTTATTATCCCATAATCACTTACAGAAAGGAAAAGATGTAATTTAGTAGGAATCGCTCACACTTTTACCAGTTCATTTAAACCTAATTTTTTATTGTAGTAGAATAGGCAGATACTTATGATAGTACAAACTGATACTTTTCATCATCTGCATGCTTTTTTTTTATTTATATTTATCGATTTAGTGGTAATTTTTTAAAAAATGTATTGCACTAAAAATATATTACCAAAACCCCTTTCCCAATAAATTGGCGGCAGTTTTTCAGGAATATCGTGGTCTATCCTTTATAATACCATTGGTTTTAACCGTATATACATTACATTTCATTTCATTTCATTATTGAACTGTGAAACTGGTTTTATTCCATTGGTGCAGTAAGCCCAGAGAGTGGCAGTTAGTTGATCTACCTGTAACTTAGTGTTTAAATTTGGACTTATAGTTACTTTCCGGCAATTGTTTATAAAGTTCGTATTTGGAAATATCTAGAATTTCTGAATTTGTTGCTGAAAAAAGGATTAGTAAAACTGTGATTCCTAAAAATGATATAATTATTATTCTTAATGTGTTCCAAGCACTTCGTCACCCAAACCTAACGTTCCTTTAAATTTTAACTCTAACCCATAACAAAATAAATAAGAACGGTGTTGTCGAAACAATTTCCATGTGAACTGTTAGTTCTTATTTATTTTGTTAAATGGATTTTCATCAAGTAAAAGCTCCCTCAGTTCAACTAACCTTTAACCTTTTCAACGAAACTTTCACTGAAGTTTTGTAAACAGTAACTTTTAACCTTTAAGTTGTCCATCCTGCTTAACTATCCCTCCCATTGCAAATTTATATTGTATTACTCTCTCGCATTAAGAAACTATACATAACTCAATCATTCGAGGTCTCAGAAGCTTGTACTAGATTCGTTCTTATCATTTCCATGGAAGATTAATTTTCGCTACTCGGTTGGGCGTCGCAATTAATCGGCCGAGATTAATTTATGTCATCTAAACGGCTGTCTCGGT